AAACATACCCGCCCTCACTGAGGCGTTTGTTATAACTTTTTGTTAACGCCCACTAGGTGATGATCTCTATAGGGGTCTCTATATGAGCGCGCTGCGGATTTCAGTCGCGTGAAAAGCTGTAGCATTCTTTGCTGTGGGCTGTGAGTGAAATAGATTTGCAATTTGTTTCTGATGTGTGGCTACCACGGGGACTATGTTGAAGCATACCACTCACTGACCGGTGAGCATGTCTTCAAGGCTGTGTGTATGGTGAAGCTTGATTGAAGCGTTGGATTGGATAGCTTTCAGGTTGAGGCTATGCCTTACTATTGGAAGGGTGCTTTAACAAAAAAGATTCTGGATCACTTCGGTGCGTACGAAGGACTTGACCTGACTTGCTCTTGGGCATTGACGATCATGGCTATCATTTGTTTGTGGCTTATGAGGAAGTACGGTCGTTTTCATGGATCAGAACAATGCTGTCATCCGCTCCGAAGAACAGTGGAAACAGCTCGGTAGGCCACTCAAGGTGGCATACGTCCTGCGCCCGCCCCAAAAATAACCAGCCACTGCTGGTGTGGCAGTGGATATTTAAAGAGAAAAAAATGTCTCTAGATTGTGATGTCTCTAGATTGCGAGGATCTCTAGATTGTGAAGGTCTCTAGATGGTGAAGATCTTGGGTTTCTAGATAGATCGAACCTACCTCACAAAGCAGGAGATTGTCAGAGTGATTTATAAAAAAAAGCTGGCTGGCTGACTGGCTGAGAAGAGTGATGAACTACTAGCGTGCAAGCTAGAGTCACATGTGCCCTCACTGAGGCGTTTGTTATAACTTTTTGTTAACGCCCACTAGGTGATGATCTCTATAGGGGTCTCTAGATTATATATGAGCGCGCTGCGGATGTCAGTCGCGTGAAAAGCTGTAGCATTCTTTGCTGCGGGCTGCGAGTGAAATAAATTTGCAATTTGTTTCTTTGTTGTTGCGCGTGTAATGCCGCGCAAAGCCAAAGCTATGAAGAGTGGTGTCCGTGGCGTGGCGTGGGACAAGTCGGAAAACAAATGGCGTGTCCGCTTGGGTGAGGGCCGAGTGTCGAGGGCCAAGCGTCAAACCACACGCGCCCAACAAGTTTGTTGTGTACAGGCGTTGGGAAAGGTAAGCGACAAGATTGCGGTCGCTTTACCACACGGCTAGAAGCCGAGAACCATGCGCATAAGTGCATGGCAGCCCAGAAAGTATCGGTGGATGATATGTCTAACACTCGACGATTAGATGATAGCTTGCGCAGGCCGACGCGGCCCACTCACCGCTGAAGAGCGAGGCTGAAGATCATCCACAGCCTCGAAAGTAAATAATACCTTCTAGGCTAGATGTTTAAGATGCACTGCATCTTTCGCATCAGGTTTGATGTGCTATGTCAGAGACTGGTAGCGATCACGGCGTGCTTGGAAGTGGCCAAGTATGACCGTGGTACACACAAAATCCAAAAAAACAAACAAAAAATATGTGTTCGACTTTGCTTGGCAGATCAAGAGGGGATAGAGAAAGCACAGCAAATGAAAGCTGTAGCTATGAACCAGCTGATGACCTTGCCCCTCCAGTTGTTTTTGGGGCCAATGCCCCGTGCCTAAAGGATTGAATTTGGACTACCCAGAGTCACGCGCCCGGGGCTCTGCTTTGCTCTGCGTCTTGGACATTCAATATCCTCGAGATGTTGCGGGCTGTATACCCATGTTTGTAAGAAGTATTCGTTAAACTCTCCCTATAATACTTTTTTGTCGGAGGCAACGTTCCCCCAAAGTTGGAAGCACAACCTTGGCAAGCTAGGGCCGAAGTTTGAAAAAACATGTGCAAGGCTACGCAAGGATGCCCATGGACTTGTGAACGCGTTCTTTTTGCGCGGGTGGCTTTGCGATGAACGCGGCGTGTGCTCGATGGAAACAAGCCAACTTTCTGCAACTTAGTCATAGTCAACCTATACTTGTGGTCTACGTATCTTCAACTTAAAAGTTTATGTAGGTGTATCGAGCGGCTCGTAGTTTTGCAAGGCACTTGTAATTACGCAGGAAAAGTAGAAACGGCTTTCAACGTTCTTCGATTTTTGCAACTGCATTTAGCTTAATTTTGAAAACCTGCGCGTGCACATGTTTTTGTTTGTATGAATACGTATCAAATAAATACGCAGTTAGAAGCTCATCGTCCCAGCCTTTCCACCACCACGGAGCAGCCGCAGCCTCCTAAAAAGGCGTGGGCTAGCGGAACTGTGCGACAACAGTTTTTTGTTGCCCCTCCATTTGTGTCAGTTCTCTGATGGTTTCCGCGCGCAGCGCGGCTCTGGTGTTGAGCGGGTTGAAACCTTGTGTGTCGACCGTGCCGTGAGTATTACGTGGCATCTTTGTCGTCGATGCCTCGGAGAAAACGACGCTGCTGTTGGCAACGTTGGCCGATAGAAAGGTGAAAGCGATGCGGAGTTAGAAGCGTCAGAGGCTTTGTTGAAGTATCGGGCCATTCACATTGGGCTTTCTGAGGCAGAGGCCACGTCGCCGTGGGCCTCGCGGTCGCTGCGCTCGCGCGGAAGCCTGATGCAGTCACAGTTCTTGAGCGTGTTGTGTGGGCAAGATTGCGCTGGAGGCCACGGTGAACGCCGTCGGAGAAACGGCTTCCTCTTTGGGGACGACCTTGACGTCGGAACGTTCGGCTGCCGCCAACTCACAGAATCTGGACGGTATAGTCGAAATGCATCGCGAACAAACTTCTTTTGTCGTGCACGGTGTCTGCTTGAGGCTCCGTGGGACATCGACAGTGGCGCGTCGAGGTAACTGGCGCAGGCAAGAAGATCCGTTCGATTTCCTTGTTGTAGCATTCTCCTCTGACTCACCAGAAATTTGTGGAACGTCGGATGCCAAGAACGCTACTTTCAGGTGTTGTCTGTTTTTGCGATGCAAATGCCGCCGCAGATGTACTTGAACCCAGAGGCTTGGCGATCGCGATATATCACGCATTAGCCAAATCACCGTGACATTGCAGTCATTCGTCCTCATGCCATGGTGAGGAGCATGTTGCCATGGTCGTGAGCTTTGTGGTTCTCGACTTTGTTTGTGGTCCTCGTGTTGTGCGCTGTGATTGTGGCTGTGTGCTGTAAGTGTGTGTTTGTGTTTGTGGTTGTGTGTTTGTGGATGTGTTTGTGGCTGTGTGTTTGTAGATGTGTTTGGGATTGTGTTCGTGGTTGTGTTTGTGGATAAAGTTTGTGATTGTTACCCACCTTGCGACTGAACTGGTTTTGCCTGGGTATAGGTCCAGAGGAGTGGCGAGCGATGGCAAAGAAATCGCGGCCGTTTGGTGTCGCAAGTTGGGAAGACGCGCTGAAATTTGTGATTGTCCTTTTGCCAGCTTGCCAGCTGAATCAGAGGTCAAGAGCTTGCAGCAGAGGATTTTGTACAGTTGCCTATGCTCACATACGCTGCTTGCCTAGGCTCACACATACTTGCTGTGTGGTGTGCGCGCTTGCTGTGTGATGTTGCCTGTGTCCCAAGGCTGTTTTCAAACGGCTGCTGGTCAGATGTGACTAACATTCTTGCAAGCAGATGCACTTCGAGTGATCGCCCCAACTTTGGTGACTGTGTTTCTGGTCGTGCGTTTGTGATGGGGTGTAGTGGTTGTGTGTTTGTGTCTGTGTGGTCCGGCGTTGGAGGCTGGACACTGCCCGCTGAAGCTCGTGGTTGAAGTCCGGAGGGGAACACTGCCTCCCGAAGCTCGCGGTTGAGGTGTGGCGGGGAACACTGCCACGCAACCCTCGCAGTTGAGGTCCGGCGCGACCCCCGGTGACGTAGAATCTAAGAACCGTCACCTGATAGGTGGAAAAAGAGTAAAATCTCACCTTTTCTGGAGGTGAAAGTGGTGTTTGTCTTGGAGCAAAAGACCCGGCCCACGACGAATGGCAGAATTTGATGTTTTGCGAGGCTGGGCGTTGCAGTTGCAGAGTCATGATAGCGGTCATTCTTGACTCGCAAGTGAGAAATGAAACGCCTTCCTGCCAGGAATGCCTCTTGCGGCGTGGGCACGAGGCGCAAACACGACTGGAGATACGCGGAAGCGATGTTGACGTAGCGCTTGCCAGGTCATCCCTGCAGAAGGCGAGTATGAGGACTATGAGAAGTCGGACGGGGCTTGGAAGCCAATGTCAAAAACACAGGACATCATCTAAACGCGCGTCTCGGTCAGGCCAGCGAAGTCAGACGCGCTGTGGTGGAGGACGGGAAAAACGAGAGCAATCCACAAAAAGCGTCCCCATCGATGGAAAGAAGCTCCTTGGCTGGGGCTTGGGGGAAGCCCTTGATAGCTGGACAAGAAGGAAACAGTCTCACATAGCCAGAATTTTTTGGACTTCGAGCCAGCAGGACGCGCCTTTGCGTGTTGGCCTTCAGGAAGGACCGGGTTTGCTGGCGCCGTGAAGTTCCGGACCTACGACAGTTGTTGAAGACATGTATTCCACGTGTCCATGGTGACTTCACATGTGACAAGTACTGGTGGTCATCAAAGCCGGTGTGCCATTTATCAAAGGCAGCTGCACCGTGCCCAAACCACTACTTGCCGGCTTCATCTTTCACCTATTGCTTTGGCTTGTAAGTTAAATTAGAAGGGCGGGCCTTGGGCAGCCAACCTCTGAGAATACAGCAAGCCAATTTTGGGAGTTTGTTTATCACTCGTGTGTTTGTTTTTGCTCAAGGATTTTGTTTTCTGCAGCTCTGGAAGCCCCTCCCCCGTTGTTTTTTTTCCGCTGCTTTTTGGTGTCAGGCTGGGCACGCACAGACCTGCACTCGTTCCTGTTGATTCCACTACAAGCACCATTTGATTTCTAAGGGCTGACCTTAATTCCACTAGAACCCGTTAAATTCTTTTGGTTCCTGTTGACTTTCCTTTCCTACTCCTTCTTAGTTAACTTAAAATCATTTTTCTTGATTGTTTTCAAAATTTTCAAGATCCCATTCCACCAAGGGAATGGTTACGAAATTCACTTCCCAGGCCTGCTGCCTTCGCAGCTCCCGCCCTCTCATCCGCTTCTGTGGCCTGCGGCCGTCAGTGCCACCGAGCTGCTGGCGGGCAGCGCGCATGGCTTGCAGGTGGCAGAGGATCTTTTGCACGCAGGCGCTGGTCAAGAGGGGGTGTTGGAGATGGATTGTTTGGCGGTTCTTAATTGACTCGATAAGTTGTTGGAACTTTTTACTAGATTTTCTCTGGAAAAAGATATCGCCCTTTCGGCCCACCTATCGGCCCACTGGCGCAGCCGCTGCGGGCGCCCACGGCCTTCGGCTTCAGGTGAGCAGAACTTGTCGCTGCTGAGGGACGCCGGCTTCGAAGAGGCGGAGGCGCGCTGGGCCTTGGTGATCATCGACAGTCGGGCCTTCACCTTTCAAGGAGAGTGCCTTGTTTCAAAGGGGCGAGATGCTATGGGGCGGTTGAGTTCAGTTTCACCTTGCCCTTGGAACGTGTGAAACTTACCGGAAAAACATGAACAAAGGTATCATTGTTGGAGAGATTAGAGGAGTGCGCGGTCACTCCTGGTTTGGTTTGGCGGGGAGATTTGTCATCGAACTTTTGTTGCATTTTGGGTCCCTTGGTTGGAGCCTCCAGACGATCCTTCAGGCCCCAAGTCTGTTTGATGAACCCATTTCAGAGCAAATCCAGCAGGAAGCTGTGACGTGAACACTTTGACCTCCAAAACAGCAACTATTCCAAGGGTCACACGTAGAGAGATTGCAAGTTTTTCTGTAGAAATTCATGCCCAATCATTCTCCTTTTACACCGTGCCTTTCGAAAAGCCCGATGTCGCCTCGCACGGCGTTTTCCACCCTTCCCCCCCTCTGGCGCCCCGGGTTGAGGTCCTTGGCGTTGGTACCTCTGTTGGACCTCTTCAACAATCGCCACTTAAGCTGATTCCATCAACGGATTCGGGCGTGCAACGAAGCCACACAGCAGGTGGTGGGGCGAACCGACGCCGTCCCCCCTGAGTTGTGCCAAGAGAAGATGAATATATATATATATATATATATGTATATTTATGCTGCGCCGCTGCGCGCCGTTTGCGACGTTGCGGTCCATTTTGTTTGGTGACATGTCATGAACGAAGGACGTGACAAAACTTCCAACGCAAATCAGATTCTCAAGACACTTGACAGGATTGCAATCAGTACAGTCAAGAGCAAGCACGCTGTAGTCCAAGACTGAGCATCTTAACTCTTCTTTAGTCTGTTAGAGAACCCTTGAGGATGACTCGTTTCCGCATGCGTTTTTGGGTGACACTGACATTTCCCTTCACTGCAGGTACGGACGCTCAACTCTGGCAGTGCTCTTTTGAACCCGACGGTTTGCCGGAAGACGGAGCGCTGTTGGTGGCCGAGCGTGGCATCGGCGCAGGGGAAGAGATCTTCCACTTGTACAACGCCAATTCCAGCGCGATGTTGTGGATGGCTTATGGCTTTCTGGAGGCCAGGTTTTGGAGATCTAGTGAGCAAGCCAGGTCGGGGCAATGGGCGTACAGCATTTAGCTCAGTAGATCGAAAGCAGCCGCCTTGACGGTCGCTGACTCCTGCTTAAGTCTTTCAACAGCTGCATGGACCCGCATCTTTCTCCGGTGTTGTTGGGAGTTTATCCCCTCCTTTTCCCCAGCTTTTTTTCCTACCCAGTCAGGATAACCTTTAACCTGTTTGGAGCTTTTTTTGCCCTACTAGCAATGAACATGAGGGAAAAGGACACCACTTGGGAGTTCGTACGGGTATATCCTCTATGGCTCGGCCCAACCCTGACACCTCGAGGGTGAAAACCTCTTCGAGACTGCTGGGCTGACCGTGGACCTTCGTAGCTACCGTGATGCTTCACCATCGCTGTGGGCGGAGCTGAAGAGATGCTTTCGGAAGGCACCGCGGGCGCCGTCCGAATGGGTGGGGGGTTGGGCTCCGGCAGCCTGCACGAGAGATGGTGGGTGGGGCAGAAGGCGTGTGCATGGCTTGTTTCAAACGCATTTCTTTGGGTTTTAGGATTAAGACCTACTAATGTATTACAGAACTCCTGTGGAGGCTTGGCTTTGACCAGGCTACAACTCCGTCTTTCATATCGTCCGACCCATGGTTCACCACAGGCCAGCTGAGTAGTTCGGTGCCCTGTTTCTTCATCCAAGCTTCATGGGCCATGGTCGCTGCCAGATGAAATGCTGCAGGATGAAGGTGATGAAATGCAGCACCACCTCTTAGAGCTGCCAAAGGATGCAGAACTGGGAGGCGAGATGATGCCTTTGGCACGGCTTCTGACGGGCGGCTCAGAGCCGTGCGCCAACACTACCGAGACAGGCGCGGTGTTTGGCGCGGTTTTTGTTTTCTTCTCCGCTTTTTTTTGATGAAACATCGGTGTGTGGTGGTGTACATGACGACTCGGGGTTGCAAGAGTGGAACCTCAACTGGGGGGGCTCCCCGGATAATTGATGATATTTGAAGGTATGATTGAAAGTGTTTGAATCAATTTATTCGGTGTATTCTTCATTGGTTGTCCTATCCAAGATGGCTAGAACAAGAACTTCTTTCAGCTGGGGTTCCAAGTTGGCCCTTTGAATCTCACCGGATCTGGACGGCGGACGGCGGACGGCGGACTGGGTGGGCGCTTTCGGATGGACGGACTGGGAGCCTTCGTGGGATGGATGCCGAGGGGATACGATCCAGTCGAATGCATCAAACATTGATCTTTATATCCTGGTGGGTTTTCATTTTATACAGATGGAGGATGATGGAGGGTCCAACCCCTAGCTGGAATTCCGGGGATATCTTTATCCTTTTACAGGTGTTTTTGTTTCGCGGGACCTGGAGACCTGGAGGCTTTTTTGCGCCCGCCCCCAACTCCTTTTTTTGTGGCAGATTCAAGAAGGACGTACCACTTCTATCGACTTCTACCAGGGTCCTCCGACAGGTCACCAATTGAGACCTGTTTACGGTCCTACAACTCTCAACTAATGACCTGTTCAAGTGCGCTGGTATAACACAACTGTATTATGTATATAATATATAACATCAACGACCCCCAAAAAGACTTGGGGCTTCACTCAGTGGCTGGTCTGCCCCGTGAGCACAACGCATCAGGTGCCAAAACGCCCACGCGGGAGGACGGAGGTGGGTAGAGAGCTGGTGGATGAAGTGGCTGCGGGAGCACCCTGTGACTCCTGGACGTTCCTAATCGTTCCTACATGGATCAGTTCCTTGATGTGGTATGGGCTGCGATCTGCGGTGGGTCTCATTCACGCCCATCTAGAGTCTTCTTGATGTTTGGGTACACATTTTGAGCCGACATGGTCTGGAAACCGAAGGGGGTTGAAACACATGATGTAGAGAATCTTGAATGATCAAAGCTCCCCAGACATGGACTATCGAGGACTGTACTACCTCTTCTTCCTGGAGCTGGGGGGGGTGACATCGACTGCTCCCAGCGCCGCCAGGACTTGGCTTTGGAGCTGAAGGCCCGCCGCCTGGTCATCTCCTGGCTTCGCCAGGCCTGGCCCGCGGCAAGCCGGAGAGATGGCTGGCGTAAGGGGCGAACGTGTGTCTCAGGGTAGGAGCAAACACGTGGGAGTCACGCAGGTCCCAAAAGAAGTCGAGAAGGTGGAAGCACATCTCTTTGGAATGTTCAGAGGCAACAAACATTGGATGCAACATGATGCAAACCTTCAGTGGGTATGCTTTTACCTTTCACATCCTTTCACAACTTCAAAATTTTGCAGGGAAGACACTCAAATACTTTTGAAGACTCTGGTGATGGCTCACCAAGCTGCTTAGCTGCCTCCCCCGCGGCCTCGGTCCACCCGTCTACCGCGCCAACACGTCGAAGACACGACGAGGCACTGGAAGAGTCCAGGGCGGCGGAGGAGAAGCTGAAAGTTGAGAGAGGGGAGGAAGAGCCTTGGAGGCCGCTGGAGTCCGACTGGAGTCCCCTTTTTGCTCGTGGACCGTGTGAGACGCGTCCAGACGACATCCTCATATTCTTCTTTCCGGTGGCTTGAACCCTTGCCTGATGGCTTCAAGGTGCCCTTGCCAAACACACCACTGGGGACAGCGCAGGCTTGAAAGAACACCTAGAACAAAAAGCTTGGTATGAGTATGATTGGTTCTGGGATTGCTCTATTGAATCTTTAGACTGAGGATCGTCTTGGGAGTGATCCACCTGTCTTGGACCCCATTGAGCCATCGAGGAGTTACACACCTCATCTTCCCGGAAGCTTGGAAGCCCATGAGAACATGTATGAGACACATTCTCTTTTTCAGGGTGCAACTTAACTTACTAGACTATACATCATCCAACATGGCCCAACCAACTCGGCGTAACTCTCTAAACCCGGCTTTTCACCGGCGTAACGCGCGCGGCGGGGAACAACCCTTCTCTTCGACGTTCGACGACCCGCCCACGTGGCGCACCCGACCAGGTCGGCGCGGCGGCTCCTGCAGCTGGAACGACCCGTGCTGCAGTTGGAGTTGGACGTCTCCGAGAGGCGCGAGTCGGAGGTCGTTTTGTTTTCGACGTGGAACGGTGGAACCCACGTGCGGGGACGGCGAGTGGTTTGGTGGGCGGGTTGTGCTGTATAGCGTCAAGGAGAGATCCAAGGTGCGGTTGGTGGATTTCGGCAGGTGGAATGGCAAGGGGGTGGCCCAATGCAATCAAGTGCGTGTGGAATGGCAGAGGAAGGTTCCACCCCTTCGGCCCTTCGTTTGCTCCACCCCTTCGGCCTGTGGCCAGTGCCGGCCAGTGCCAGGTTTTGCTCCGAGGGTTCTGAGGCTTTGGAGGGCGACTTTGAGGCCTTTGCCCAAAGAACTTGGCAAAGGGACTCTGGATGGATGGGCGCCGGTTGAAAACACGAAGGACATGTTGGCGCCGGTTGAGAAACGATCTGGTTGGCTCGAAATAGGTAAACAAAGGTGTATAGCTTTCTTCGTGCCACAACTGGAAGTGGAACGTTTAGAATACATTGAATACATCAATACACACTGTATTTGTTTTATTATTGTCATTATGGGCTGCATTTCCAGTGCATCACAGCAAAGGGCCCTCTCTCCCGTCACGTGCTTTTCCATGCGTGTAATGGATGACCCTCACATGCCATTGGCATCGTCACAAATTGGGATGTCGTGCAGCAGATTCAGTACACTCCCGAAAACTCACATGGACCCCTGACAATGGCACGCTGGAAGGTTGTTTTCCTCTAGCTGCGCCCGTGGCTTTCAGGGTCCATGGGATCGTCTTCCAGGGTCTTCCTAGCACCCTCCTGGCCAGGTGTTTCCTCATCACAACAGGTGTCCAGGTTCCCCCTGTGCTCGGGTCTCCATCTCGAGCCGAACCGACCGGAGGGTCGTAGATCAATTCACTCTCTCCATCACCTCCGTCCGCGGTGTAGGATCCAGTTCGCGTCGCGTCGCCGCGGCCCACCGGGCTCCCAGACGGAACCGCCGTGCGTGGCGTTTTGGGGCGGTCGGACCGGGCGCGGCGATGGTGAAGGCGATGGATGCGGTGGCCGCTCGCAAGAGTTTGTAGTTTCGGGTCAGGGAACTTTTTCGATTTGGGGGATCTGGACTCCAGTGAAATTGTGTAGCATCTCGAAGTCAGTGGCAGATGTGGCAGTGGCTTATTTTGCTATAATGATATGGAGAATTCTTGGTTCTCAGGTCTTTCCATCTGGAGAAGGGAATCTCCCTTCTCAATTGGAGTAGCTGCTTCATTCCTGAGTCTGGACATCGTACTCCTGGAACAATGAAGGCCCCACGTGTGGAGCATGAGAGACACCTTTACACGAGTTAACCTGGAAATTCTGAATGGGACTGACAGAGACGCATCTAGAATGGAACCTTTCATATCCTTTCATCATATCCCATCCCCTCTGCTGATTCTGATTGAGATCGCCGTGTTGCCATTTTTCCTTTTCTTGAGGAGAATGGACGGGTCCATGTGGCGGAGGGGCAAAGCAACAAGGAATGGCTCCCGCAGAGCGGCTATGGTGGGACAGGTGGGACGCGATCCGCGTCGGGTGTCGGGTTGTGGGGAAAGAAGGACCAGTTTCATCCGTGTCTCTGTGCCAGGTGAATGTGTTTTTTCGATCTAATACATTCTAATATATAGTTGGGTTGCAAGTAGGTCTTCTTATGGCTTTTTTGAATAAGTAGGGTGCTTGCTAGCTGCTTAGGGGCTCATGATGTGGGAGTCTTGCCTTTTTCCGGTCCATGTTCGGGTTCTTTTCAAACAGAGCCCCAAAGACTCAGAGCCCCACCGGGCATGTTTCGAGTCGCTCGCAGAGTCGACGGGCGATCTGACCTGGATCCAAAGAATCGTTTGACACTTGGCTGTGTAACCAACTCTATCTTGGATCCTCCATAGGCTTTCAGAATCGAGTTGAAAAGCCACCAGCAAAGCTTCACCCGTCCCACGGTCCCACCCTATCTTCACCTGCTTATTAAAAGGCGCCTGTCTTTCACTTCTGCCGCTTCAAAAACCGCTTGCCCCGCCCTTGCCTCACTTCAGGCGGTCTGAAAGCACACCTGGCCCAGCGTGTGCCAGTGCTGCGGGACGCCGCGGCCTTTCGGGAGGTGCGCCGCATCCTCCGTGAGGAGCCACGGCGAGCCGTCGAGCTGTCGACGGGGGCGAGCGACCAGGGCGAGCGAGCAGTTAGAGTTTGCTCGATTGAGGGTGGTACCGGATGGGGGTGGTAGGATGGCGGTGTTCAGCGCTGAAGCCTCGACGATGGGTGCCAGATCTAGCTCTTGGGGACGTGTTAGCATCAGTACGTGAGAGCTCTTGGTTGGAGGGCACAGAGTCGGTTGCAGCCGGGTGTTCTTGTTGTCCAACTGCAAAAGGAACCAGTTCAATGACAATGGGCCCCTGAGCTGAGCAGCTGCTCCGATACAAGTGTTGAAAGGGACTTACTAGATGTTTTGTTTCTTGGTACATGAAGTTACATTTGGGTGGATTTGGGTGTTTTATTTTCGTGCCACAAGCTGAAGGTGAGATGCTTTATCCCAGACCCAAAGCTGGTTTCAACCAGTTATAACATATGTATTATAATGTAGATGATGCCAGTAAGATGTCAGAAGGGGCTGGGCACTTTGTGAAGTTTCTTAGTCCTCACTTGATTCACTGAAGATGTTTGTCCAAAGCGTGTTCCCAATGTCAAGAAGCGTCACTGTGAAGATGTCTGTGAACTGCCCTTGCTTGAGGCTCTTGGAGGGTCCTTCCTTCTCTGGTTGGTCGCTTCAGCAAATCATTGCAACCTCTTTATTCAAACGGTGCTGAGATCCATCAACCATCAACCCCATTTCGTCTTCGCCTGCGTTGTGAGGACTATGGCGGGCCTCGGGCGCTCTTGGCCGAGCTGCGGACGCAGGGATTCGTCGAGAACAGCCGCCTGGCGACGGGTGAGGGTGCACCCTTCAACCTCTTCGCGCGGCTGGCAGATGGTCAGATGCAACAACCAGGTGGGGAGGAGATGGTTTGGAGCTGCGGGTGAAGAGGGAGTCTTTAAAAAAGATAACAGCTTTGGCGCCCCACGGTCAGGTCTTTGGAGCGTTTGCAATCGAGGCTTCTTCTCGGAACAGGCTTCTTCTCATTGATCTCGGAACAGACGCGTCACCAGGGTCAGTACTGTACCAACCCCAGACGCTCCATGTATACCATAATATTCCATACAAAACCACCCCAAATGCCAAAACCACCCCTGATCGGCATATATGCCAGTCCCACGGAGTGTCAGCACCAACGGGAGGGGGGAGGGACCACATCGGCTTTCGGGATCCTGGCCCGTGCGAAACGGGCGGAACCGGCGGAACGGCGGTTGCCGTCGGTTTGCGAGGCATGGAGGAGGAGCAGGCTGCTTTGATGCTCGATCTGAGTGGCGGTCATGTAGATGGTTGAAGACGGTTGATGAATCAAAGCCCCAGAGGAAGAGGTTTTCTTTTTTCAATGTTTAAGTCAATCATAACCACGAGCGGTTCATTGCCACTGAGCATCGGACATCTAGCAAAAAGTCTTCGCCAGGGGGGGCCACTGGCCACTTGCAGATTGTTGGTGAAATCTTTGAGATTCTAAAGCCGTACACTCTTATTATGATTGTACATGATGTAATTTACATTAATTCACTGTAGTTCTTTGTAGTTCTTTGCTGGTGATAGTGATGGTGGCTTGGGTCACAGTGGGACGTGTTGATACTCGTGAAGGAAGGCCCATTTATGTCCATTTCGATATGGGCGTTTGCTTGAGCTTCCGCAGTCCGCCTTGAGGAAGGACTATGGGCAGATCTTCTGCATCTGCAAGAACCGGCCTGAGAATGATGAGAAGTGGCAGTCCGAGGCGTCCGACAGCGTCCGGCCTGGGTTGCGTCCGACGGCTTCCTGCAGCACATGTGTTGTACCGAGACATGTGGGATCAATTGCGGAACTTGGGTCCATACCTAGAAGATCTAAGTAGCAGGTCGCCATGCATCACTTCAAGACCCTGCTCCTTGGTATTGCTTTGTTTTACTTTTTTTTCGTTTTCAACCTTTAGAAGATTTTAGAAGACTCATCGGAAAGAGACTCGCTGGTGAAAGGGTCGCACCACCTTCGTCAGCCCTTCGTCAAACGACGAAAGGCACCTTCAACGCGCCAGACCTTAGATCCACTGGACCTTCAGCCGTCACACGTCTCTGCGTTCTCGTCCGCACGCCGCGCGTGGACAGTGGACGTCCCCTCGTGGCGCAGGATGCCGAGTGGCTCGGGAAGGCCTCCATGGCGGCACGGCATCGCTTCTTGACCACCAAGGAGCGTCGCATCTCTACCACGAAGCCGAAGGGTGATGGGAGAACTGACTCATCCGCCTCATCCTGCCTCCGACATGTCCGCGACATCCAGGGGGGTGGGGCAAGAGATGGGAAGAGGATGAGATGAACATCGATGTTTTTGGGGGGTCTGAAATGAAGAGTCAGGTGTGGGCGGTCCAATGGGTTCAAGACATCGGTTTATCGCATCATATTCTCTATGATATGTATGTACTTAGTAACAGTATATATCAATAGCATACAATAGCCATGCATGTATGAAACTATCCCTAAGGATCCAAGTACCTTCTCAGGCGGTGATTGGAGGCACTGTTATGTAGGTATGGAGGGTCCAAGTACCTTCTGAGGAGGTACTTGGATCCTTAGGGTATATAAAATAATTGGGATATGGATCCAAGAGGTGGTAGACCTTGGTCCAAATCAATCTCTCAGACCGTGGCGCGGTGACCCAACAAACGCTCGGTGTCTCAAATTTTTCTTTTCTCCTTGTCCAGCAGCTAAGATCGAGCGTATGTCACCTTGTCACCTGCATGCCCCACAGGATCTACGGTGGAACTTCTTCAATGCCCTTACCATGGGCAACTGGGACTCTAATCAGGAGAGGGGTCGAGTGTAAGGTGTGGGCGTAAGAGAAGCGAATTGTTGATTTCTGTAGGGTCTGGAGGAAGAGACAGATGCAGGAATCAAAAGATCTCCTGGTCATGAACCACTAATATAGCGAATTCCATGGTGTACTGCTAGCAACTGAGGCATGACCGACGATGACGATGTGGTTGGAGGCCTTTCAGAGTCAGAGCTGAGTTGGCAAAGCTTTTCCTCAGTTCCTTTCCCAACTCCACTGAACCGCGGTGTTCGCACCACCCAGTGGCGACTGGGGAACCAAAAGGGACCCACTCCAGCAATCAGTGATGGAGGATGGATAGCGTTAATCAGTGATGAAGGACGGCGCGCGTTCGGACGCCCTGGGGAAAGGAAGCAAGAACCGAACATTCCCTTTATTTTCCTATTAGGAGGGAGCACAGCGAGCAGGAATTGGTGAAAAGAGGTCTCCTGCAGATGAACAAATGGACCCTGAAAACCACGGTCGGGTGGTAAGAGACGAGGAGTCAGATTGGGATCGTCTGCAGGGGCATGTCTTCACGGTCAGGATCGTCTGATCGTGGACCGGTGCCTTCCAGCTCCAGCTTCAGCCGAGAACATATGGGTCAAACCCTGCTTGAAAAACTAGAAGAGGAGCACCCTTCCCCAACTAAAAACATGCCCAAATCACAATGTATGTAGTGAAAACAGGTTCGATTTTGGTGCACCAATCCTGTGGAAAGCGAATGCGCATGTAACCTAGCTTGACCCCTTGGTTGCGAGTGAAGACTCCCAGGCAGGCAAGATGAGTCGTTGGAAGTTCTGGGAACGCTCCCGCACAAGTTGAAGTTAAGAATGGGGGGAAGGTGATGGAAGGTGACCCATTTTCACCAAAGTGACAACATGTGGAGGCCAATTTTTAGAAATCCGGTCCGGAACCTGTAGCGCACGGTGTTGGTGTTGGTGTTTGCCACGCGGTGGGTTTACCTTGTGGTTTGCCACGGGGTTTTAAGCTCGTCTTCGATCGTTTTGTGAGACGGCCCATGAGGGCCATGACCAACGTGAGTAGTTGTGCTAAGGAATCCATTCAACTCTTGGGACAGCTCAAGGCCGCAGCCATGACCTACGTGTCTTGGACTGCGGGGATCATGGGGAGGGAAAGTGCATGGTTGGTCCGGGGAACTCGACGTATCACGAAGGGTCGCCTCAGGGCTAGTAGCGAGTTCTCCTTGCTTTAGCAAACATGTATTCGTAAGCAGGACCTTTGCCCTTTTCTCTCAACATCTCTCAAAACCAGAGGGTGTGGAGCTGCACCGGGACTGAGCCCCGCCCTTTTCAGGCCTCGAAGATGGGAACCTGGTCCGAGAAACTGGGCCTCTTCTTCCACGTCTATGGCCACAACTCGGTGCCTTCGGCCCCCAAGCGTCCCTGGATCGGGCGCGCGTTCAGCGGCGAGGTTCGGCACGGGTGTGCGCCCGCGCGTGTTCGGTGGCTGCGTTCAGGCGGCGGAGGGATCGGGGCAGGAAAGGCCTTGGTGGCGATGGCAAGGGGAGTGGTCGACTCGTTTGGATTCGACTGAGCCCAGAGTGAAGGATGCTGGGGGCGGACACTCTCCGTCACTCGATTCGCTCGACGTCTCTCCCTCTCCCAGCGATTTGAGTGTCGTGGACCGTTTTCTCGGTTTTTGCCGCATGATGAGGTGAATTCTCTTCACCTGCACCTGGTGGACATGAACTTTTTGGGTCCCACCTTTAAGATCCTTGGAGCTTTAACGCCGCTGGGTCGAGGGATGTTGATGCAGACCGAGTTCGGTCGAGGATTTGCTTGCACGTTGCGCAACGCGCGGGTCTGCTGACAACGGGGCTTGGGAAGTGCAAGAGTTCACTTGGCTAGTATGCTAGTGGAGTGGTTGGATTGAATTGTGTACATGATGGCAGAGTATTATATATATATGGCAGAGTTGTATAGACCCCATAATATAGATAATTAAATGACTATATATATATATACACCTGGAACTTCGTTACGGCAATAACAATTGCCGTTTTCATGAAACATCGCCTTTTTCCGTTCTGCGGCGTTCTTCCCTATTGATCTCATGGGGACGGCGCTTCTTGATGAACTGCGGCAGTTTCGGTCAGTTGACGGCAATTTTGGTCCACACATCCATGCGCCTCAAAGAGTCATTTCAACATTTCCTTTTAGTGCAGGCGAGTATGAAGACATTGTAGGGTCTTGCTTGAAAGGCAACTGAACGTAAAAGGCATCTAATTATATCAGCAAATTCACCTAGTCATGTGAAGTGGAAAGGGCAGATGGAAGTGTCACATGCTGGGTTTTCGTCGGTTTTCGTGGGTATCTTGACCTCTTGCGCGGCACTGCAGAAGACTTAGCATTTAACGTTGCGGCGCTCTTACCCGTGCTTGCGGCGTTTTTCCCCGTACTTACGGCGTTTTTCCGCTACTTACGGAGTTGTTCCCCGCGCCCTCTCTAAGGACACTCAAGGTGGCAGCCAGACTTATCACAGCCGATCCTTTCAGACATTGCGCGATCAAAATGTAAACAAACCCTGCCGTGACGTCAATCGAGACCTTAGCCAAGGGCCACAACATCTTGAGAAGTGCTAACATGAGGCTTGAAAACGATGAGATCTACTTGCAAGTGGAGAAAGTTAAAGGCAATTTCTGGGTATGGACGGACAAAAACCATATCCTCTTTGGTCTAGATCAAACAAAACGGTGACTATTCAATTGTGACGCGTCGGCGTTTTCACTTCTCTGACGGCGTTTTCACTTTCCAGGGCTTGAGCTACAGCAGAAAAAAAGAGTTACGGCAAGAAATATTGCCTCCAGCAAAATTATTGCCTCGGGAAGGTCTAGGTATATTGTTCCAAGATTCTTGGATATTTTTTCTATAATTGCACCGACTACTATTCTCCGGTGGGCAATTTGCTTTGAAGCAGGCCCTGGCCGGCCTAAACTAGTGGCCAGCATGTTTTAGCTACTTTTCCCATCACTAGGAATCCAATAGAATCCAAAGGGGGTTCCGACGTGATGTTTGTTTTTTGTGTATACAGGTTGCCCCCGATGCACTGGACCGTGGTTCTTAGAGTCTCCCTTTGGACCATGCAGCAGACCACAAAGCATGCAGCATTGAGGGTCCAAGATCTGTTCGATGAGAAACTGCTGAGGAAGTTGGACTACAAAAACTGTCCCCTGAGTGCCGTTCTAGAGGCTGGACAGGCTTCTGTGAGTCGAAACTGATTGAGAAAAACGATGAGGTGCTAAACGAAAGAAGGAACAAATGTCGGAAACGATGAGGTTGGAGAAATGGAACTGCTTGCAAGGTTCGAAATGGCAAATGGCAATCGTTTTGATTCGTTTCGTCCTAGCTTCTGACCACTTTCTTTGAATGTGTCCACCCTATCCCTCTATCAATCTGAATACCCCGTGAATTTGGAAGACTTCACCCACTCACGAGTGGGGCAAACGCCAGACCGCGCCGGCCACGCGGCGCGGGCCACGCGGCGCGGGCCACGCGGCAGGTCTTGCAGGATGAGCTGGCGATGGCCACCCGGCCGCCACGAGCTCCGGAGGACGTCATCGACTTGCCACGTGGCTCCAAGACGTGAAGTTTGGGTTTCGCCGAAAAACGTGGGAGGTGGGTAGCGTTCAAAACCATTAAACCTCTAAGGCGTGGGAAAAGCGTTATTGGTCCAAAAAGAATCAAAAAGACCTATTTGTTTTTTCCAAGACATGTTGGAAGCAAGTAGGATTTTTTCTTGCGCATGCGATGTTCTTGCAAGGCTCACAAGCGGTCAAGAATTGGGATTGTTTGTGTGTCAAATTTGTGTTTTGAAGGCTGTGAACCTGCGGGTGTTCCGCAATCGTGCAAGTACAAGTGAAGGACCCAGAGACAGGACTCTGTCTTTGAATGCCTTTGCCCGCAAGGTGCTAACCAACCAGCTGGCCAGTGTTTGACTCTTAGGATGGTCGGGGTGAAACCACCCCATTCGCTGAGACTGAGATGACTTGGACTGTGCGAATCCGAACGAACTGCACTTTTCTTCCCATGTCAAGGCCAACGGGTCGAAGGCAAAGCCAACTTGATTCTGTGAAAGGTGATGTGCACAGCCCTTAGGGTGCACGCATCATGCCACCAGAGGTAGTCTGGAAGTGACTTTGCTCGGTGGTATGGGTGGTATGGGAGCTTCACTTTCACCGCAGATTCATGTTGGATTCCTTTTCTCCTTTTGTATCCTTTTGGTCGAGACGGTCGTTCTCCACCTGCATCCGTTCTCACCTGAGGAACGTCGCAGGGGAGCTGCTCTCCGTGTCCGCGGCCACCTTTGCGGCGGCCAAAGGCCTGCGTGCGCCCGGACGCCTGCGGGACGCCCGGTGAAGGGGGAATGAGTCGGAGAGGCCCGGTGAAGGAGGTGGGTCTCGCTCCACAGCGGCTGAGGGGCGAGCCCCTCTGCAGCCTCTAGAACAGTGATCTCGATCGGATGGAAGATGTCGGAAGGGTCGGGTGAGAAGCCGTTTGAACATCATCTCCTCGTTTCAAGCCGGTTTTCGTGTTGGTGAAGGTGTTGACAGAATGAGGACCCCAGAACAATGGCACATCGGGCGTGCGTTTTTTACTCTCTCTCTCTCTCTCTCAGAGGCCTCAATCAAGGCGTTTTGTCGGGAACTGTATCTTTCTCGGATGCCCCCATGATGGCCGGTCTGTCCTTCATCGCTAGCGCCGCTAGGGTCGTCCTCCCTCTCTCTGTCCTCTTCTCAGGATGCTCAGGGTCGCCTCTTCCTGGACCTGCCGGTCGTGCTGGTGCGTGAGATCTTGGATGCCCTGCGGCTGCACGGCCTACGAGGTCATGTCGGACCTCTGAAGCTCAGGCAGACCGCAGTGCAGAGCCGGGAAGGTGTTGGGCACGGCGATTGGAAGGTGACAGGAGTTTTGATCACAGGTCAAATCCGAACGGATACAACACATTATGGCAATACGTATGCATAACTACGGCAGAATACGGTATTAGACACTGATCGAATTGGCCCGTGCATCTCATTCTCGAGGAATTCTACCCTATATTCCTGAACATATGGGGGTTGGTTTTGACGGATTCCGTGCACGCTTGGTGTAATTGGTGGGGGACCCTGGCTCTTGGGGGACTCGCTGAATGGCTCTGCAGGCTCGTTGACGAGGACGCCGGGCTAGTAACGCGGCGAGCTGCTGTTGTGGCTAGTGCATGGCACCTTGCTGCTGGTTGGGACTGAAAAGCAATCTGGAATCGTGATGAATCTCATGAAACTCTGTACAGCAAGCTACATACCGTTGAAGGGAAGTTCTGATACATGGTTCTGGAGGCTTCTCCTTCTGTAGGCGCATGTACTGGACTGATCACTCTTTACACCAACTCTTTGGCTGTTCGAGTGCTGGCGGACCGTTTCACCGGCACTCGCCTCCCTTGGCACTCCTCCCAGCCTCACCCGTCTCGACGAACGCCCTGGTCGATGCCAGGACCGCCAAGCTGTAGCCGATGTGCTGGGCTTGACGCTGGAGTCCCCCGAGACCTGAAGTCCTTCGTCCCGGCCAAGCCCGGCTCGTCCGCGCTGCGGCACGCCGGGCCTGGCACGCAAGGTCTGTTTTCGACCACTTGACATCTCAATGTCCGCTTCAAACAGTGAATCTTGCTGGATGTTGAGGTCCTGCCAATTCCAAGCTTGTCAGGATTCCCAAACATCAGCATCAAAATCATCAAACATCTAATCCCGGAGATTCTGAAAAGACTTCCAGAACAAACAACAGGATGAAACCGGATGAAAGGAACATGGGACACACGGATCCGAGTGTCGTCTTCTCTCAGATCTCTCAGGTGGCCGCCACCTCACCAAGACATTCAGGCATGCGCCTCCCTGCTCCTAGTCGGAGGAAATCTGGAATTTCCATGCAGCGGCAGGAGCTTCTTGGTGCACTGATGAATGATGATGAATGCGAGTGGCTGGTCTTCGCACACACGCCAGTGCCAACAATGCATGGGCTGACCTGATTGCATGAGCCGGCGACGCAAGGGACTCCTTCCAGGTCGCTTGTGAACACAGCTGAGCTCTAGCTGCTAGCTAGCATGGTCCGCCATGCTACGCTGAGCGCTGCAGGAGCCGTTCCAGTCTGGAGAAGGTGGAGGAAAGCCGAATGCATCGCTGCCACACTTGGATGAGATCATCCCCGAGGCAACAAAAAGGCTCATGCCTTTGCACACCTGCCGGCATGGGATGCATACGCTGCATCCATCAAGAACATCTTGCAGGTGCTTCATTCTGTTCACCTTCAGGTCCCTGTAGCGCCCTCCGGCCCCGACTGTCGCAGCGGACGGCGACCGGCTGCCCGAAAGCGGTCTACGAAAGCGGACGCGGAAGCGGACGTGGTCTACGTGCGGTGGAAAGCAGGGAGCCGAAGTTGACGCAAACCCTCTGCCAGAGCTCTTGAGGGCCAGCAGTTCTGATTTGCTAGGAGCAAGGTGAGCTAAGTGTGTTGAATCATTGAATGGGAAAACGACTTGCCAAAGACACAGAGAAATTGGATGCTTTTTAAGGCTCCGCCACGGGACTCAGAGGGAGGTCAGTGAATGTGATTGGGGATTAAGCAGGTGCTGCGCGTGGACACCTGCGTGCCCAGGCAGGGGTTCCGTTGCGAGGTCGCGTGCGGTCGCGTGCGGTTGAAAGCCCTGTGAGTCTTTGGATCGTTCTGGGAGCATGCAGTATGACTTGATATCTTGAGATATATCTTGATACATCGTTCTGATCGTTCTTGATATATGCCGAAGTCCATCGGCTACGCGGCTATCGTGTGTTGTTGCCCTTCAGTTTGTGGCGATGCGAGGCCTGGATTGAGATGCGAACCTGCGCGGTGAACGCCGTTTCTCTCTTTTTTTCCTCTGTGCAGCTGTTTCCACATCGAACTCGCATGGGTTGCATGACTGTCAAGCAAAGCATCAACCCACGCAGTCCTTCAGAAGACACATGAAGACACATGAAGACACCCGAAGACTGGATAAGGTGGTCATGAGAGTGTTTGGGGTCCCGGAGAGGACGTTTATGAGTTCCATGTCTTCAATTGGGACAGCCCCAAGACCTTCCATAAAGTTGGGTGCTGATTGGAGGGTCGGGCAGATGCAAGCCTGCCCAGAACATCCACTCACTTGGGGATTTTAAGTAGTACCACCCTGACATGGAACTCCTGGTCTATTCTTTGTTTTGGTTGAGGACATGAGTAGTTGAAGACTCCCGAAATTTCCCAAATGCTGGTGCTGGACACACTTCTTGAATACGCGTTGTTGATCATCTGCCATCAAACAGCATTTGAAGCTGAAAAAGAACACGGCTAGGTCAAGATTGCGCAAAATTCCACCAACCTGTTTGGCTTACTGTAATCATCATGAATCATGACTGCTATTTCATTTCCAGGTGTTGTTAAGTTTGTTCTGCGATCCACCCAGAGGTGCTTGGCACCAGGCTTAAAACACCAGAGCTCAGACGCATTTCTACACAGAACGGTGGCCGGGCCGGGAGCTCTGCACACGGGAGCTCTCCGCACGAAGAGGAGCGGCGGGCCAGCAGATTTGGAGAGAACGACGTAACCTCTGACACTTATATTTAGACCCCAAATTGGATAGAAAAGTAGAATCCCTTTCACCATGTATTTGGACACATTTGGACACCGTTTCAATCTGGGGACCACTCTAAACAGCCAGAGCTTCACCCGTTCGCTGCGCTTGTGCGGACCATCCTCTGGAGGGATCGGTCCGTCACGTCCGTCACGTCCTGGGATCAGAAGGCTTTCGGACGTGCCCGGTGCCCGGACCATGACGACAAGATAGGTCAAGTCTCCAAGTGCCAACCAGTTGCTCTCCGAAAGCTTCGCCTGGGTGGGGATAAGCTATATATACCATGATACTATAGGTTCCCCCAATGTCTGTGGATCCTTTGGTGCATGTCATTTGGATCCTTTGACATCGGAGGTTCCTGTTTGGGGAGACTCGAAAAACACCGAGGGGTGGAGTTGTCACATGTTGTCACGGCAGGAGCCCGACCACCGTCCACCGTCCTGGTCCACGCTGCGAAGGACCGACAGCACGTATTACTTCGTGCCTGGTCGGCTTCCTGGTGCTATGACCCTACAGCTAGTTCCACCTTGAGACATGGGTCACCAGTCACCTGCAGGTAGATCGCACCACTCAAGGTCCAAGGGTTTGGCGGACCCACTGACCCACCGTCGGACCTGCCCAGGAATGGCTGTGGCCCTGCGGCGACCCATCCCGGTGGGGGGGCCCGAGGGAAACACCTTCAACTCGTCGATGGTGTCTTGGCGTAGCCCCATGGTCCATACAATGGAGGAGTGTTGCACCATGTTTCACCATGTTTGCACAGGAGAGTAGGGTGTCCAGGTTTCCATTCACTCGAAGAGATTGGAACAAGACTCGGCCACAATCGTTTAGGAGTTTGTTTAATCCGCATGACCAAGCCGGATAACTTTTTCATCACTTTTTTTGCACCCATCGTAGGCACTTTTGGGGGCTCTCGCTGAATCGGGGGGGAAGTACACTCCCTGGAATGATCATGGTCAATTGGATGGCACCAGCTGTTTGGTCTTCGGATGTCTTCGGATGAAGCAATGAACCATGGTCGGAACCCCAACCTCAACACCCCGGCCCGACCTGGGGACCTGGCGCCATCTGACCCATGAGTTTCTTAGGGATGACTCGATGACCCGCCACGCGCCATGGTCATCCCCGACTCTTGGGTCACCGCCACCCGCCTCGCCACCCGCCCAGGCGCTCGCCTCCAGGGCCACCCTGGCGTGTCGAGGCGTGTGAGGGCCGGCGTAGCTGGGGCGTGGGCGGTGGAGGTGTTCCAGATATCGGAGTGAGTCTTGCTGGGCCACTTGAGCCTTCAGCCGTGGCAACTCTTCTTTTTGAAGCATCCCATATTCTAGCGTGCAATACTGTTGTGAATGTATGCATTCATCCCGGAAAGCACCTCGCAGAAGGGACAGTTTATCTTCCACATCTTTCACCCAGGTGGGCTGAACTGCAAGATTGGAAGATTGGAATTGGAACGACTGCCGCATGTTCATTTCCACTGCACAGGCCACGGCTGCCGGCGCTGGAACTCCAGTTTGGATGAGGTGCCCGACCTCCTTGCTCCCATTTCTGTGTGGAGAGATGCCACAGCGGGCTCCCTCGAAGGGAAGGAATGCCTTCAGGTGGATTCGTGGCACTGGTCACTGACCAGCGAGCAGGAGAAGGATGGCATCGACAGGAAGAGGCCAAGCGCTGAGGGGATGAAACGTGCTTTGCTTTCGTGAGAAGCGCCAAACGCGCGCGGCGCCTGACGGCGCATGTCGTACTTGGCGGGACCAGCGGGATCGTGACCACTGTACCGTTGCGGAATCAATCGGGTCATTGTTGTTGGGTTCATCTGGAATCTGGGGTTGTCTCACTTGGAGACAAGCGATTACCTTCATCTACTCCCAAAGTGATGCATGTTCTGAGGAAGTGCACTGACCACTCTTTGCCCATAGGCCTCCCAAGAACAGATTATAGAAGTTGGTTGCCTTTCAAGAAGTATTGGAAGACCCGCTTCTATCTCTTCGCACGTTCGTTCCTACCTGGCGGTTCGCCGAACGGATGTGTCCTACCTTGCCTCCTTGACCAGGCATGAGCCGCGAGGCAGGACGATGACAGGAAGAGTGTTTCTTCAATCCGTGACAGGTCCCCGCAATCCGTGGAGAAATCATGGAGAAATCATGATGGATGTCAATGTGATTTCATCATCATATATATATATATAAATGTATAATAAATCAATCATCATAATCATTTCATCCTTCATCCTCTTCATCCTCTCGAAGAGTGAACTCTTCCGCCTCACTCCTTCATGCATCTCACCACTCATTCGACCTCTTGATCCGACCTCGACCTCATCGCAAAACCGGATTTCTTCGGCGATCGAAACCCGACCCGACTGTTAGCTCGGAGGGGCATCGTTTTGGATGTCAGGAAGAGGCAGACATGTTTGGAAGATCTACTCATCTACTACAGGATCTACTATAGGATCTATACAGCTAGGATCTATATAGGTCTTGCAGAAGAAAAAGGGAAGGAGGATTCCAATCGCCAGCTGAGGTTCTGGTTGAGTTCTTGGGAGCGGTTTTTTTTCGGCCGGATTTCTCCGGTGGCATGACCATGCGCAAGGCGTGCCCTGCCGACGGATGATGTCAGGACAGGGGTTGGGCGGTGGGGACACCGTTGTTTGCATGTGAAGGGTGGTGGGGTGGTGGGCACACCTGATGTCCTTCTCGGCAAATCTCCTTCGAACATATAGCAGTTGCAGTGATTGTTGTTTGATTCAATCAACCTCTTGGCTCAATGGGTCCAGAGGCTTTGTGACATTTTGGAAGATGGTATTTGGAGGTTTCCAAAGTCTGCATTTTCATACATACATTCGGTTTCTCGGGCCGCTTCCCGGCGAGTCAGAGTGGGTTGCTTGTTTCGGGGTTGGCACGTCATGCGCACGGCCAAGCGGCCAAGTAGCAATGGCCCAGTTGAGCCACGTCCACTGTGGCTCCGCCAGGCTCCAGCGAGACCACGGCGAGCCATCGGCTCTTCCCCCGGACCACCTACGAGGCTTCCGGGGGCGGAAGGAAGCGTTTGGCCCAGTCAGAGACTTGGGGAAGTTAGGGAAGTTGGACGTTTTCTGAGATGGCGATGTTTCTGGAGCCGAGAAATTGGAGTCTGAGGGTGATCTATTGGTCTCGCAACTACTGGACAAGCCAGGAGAAAGAACCTTAGAGTCTCGCATCCATACTCGCAAACTGAAACAGCCATGACTCATGAAGCAAAACGAACTCAGCCCAGGAATTGGGTCCTTTGTTTCAGGTCCGGTCTTTGATGGTCTTTGTAACCTGACCGTTTATCAAATGAAGGACACCGCGTGTATTGCTCCTACGCCAACGGTTGCCACCCAGAGTTGCACCCCGGGTCCGACTGGATGGGTACACTCTACACCGAAGCCATGTCATGGCTAAGCACACCCAGAGGACAATGTCAGACATCAGTCACTGTCCTCTGAACAAGCACTTGCAGACCTCAGAACTGCTTGCAGAGGGCCTGTGGATAAAGGTGATCACGGCAGCAGACTGAACATGACTCATGCCGGATTGTACAGTGGCATTGTGCAAACACGCTGACGCGCCGGATTGTATGGCGTACCGCCGGTTTGTGTGTCCGCTCGTCAGGGGCAAGCAGAAGAAGATGTCTCTTCGTGGCTACAGAAGATGAACACCTGCCCGGCCAACTCAGTTCACTGAGCCGACCATTGACACCGAACGACACGAAGGTGTCGAGAACAACACCGCCGACCCCCTGCCGCCTCGTCGCGGAAGGACTCAGTCCAATCCTTTCGTTCGAAACATGTTGAAACTTCCGCTCCGTTTTTGTCGACGAAGGACAACAGAAAGCAATCGAAAACCCTCCAAAACCATCCAAAACCCTCGAACTGCCGCCCTCCGTCGATGGAACAAACCGCGGCAAAGGCGTGGGCGCCTTCCTGCGGAGCACCTTCGTAAAAGGCCGTCCGGCCGAGGCGCAGGGTATGGGGGGGAGGTGGAGAAGTGGGTCGCAAAACCCGGACGTGTATTTTTTTGTTCTAATTGGCACCAATATAGGTGTTTGATGGTTTTTGAATAGATTCTCAAGCGTTTCAAGGAGATGTGTTTTTTGTTGACTCTTCTGAACAATACCTGCTGCAGCAGATGATCTCGATGTGCACAGATACGCCCTCTTTAGGTCGGCATGAGGTGATGTTTGAGGGTTTTCAGGGATGATGTGGATATATCGAAGTCACCGAGAAGACATGCGTAAAACAGTCTTTGTGTACGACAAATATGACTATATATAAGTGACTATAATATGATTTCAATATGTCTAGGTATATATATATAGACATTGCAATCTTTGAACGATTTGTCCAAGCAGTTTTCATTGAGAATATGTTTGGGCTGCAAAGGATAACCCTAGCATCCGGCTTAGGCTTAAAATAAACCTTGAGCCTTCACTGGTGCACTAAAAATTGTTGGTCACTGGAGGGCAGGGCAAATAAACTGTACAAGGTAAAGAAACGGTCGTCAGTGGCGTTCTTGAATCCCGAAGCTTCAAAGTTCCTGTTTTGAGCATGCGCAGCATGCCGCGCAGGAAGATAAGAGCGGCAATATATTATATCAATAATACAACTCGCTTTCAGCGGCTCTTGACGCCCTAGACAAATCCCCCCTTGCACCTTCACCGCAAAGAATAAGAGCAACACTTTTATGCTCACTCACTCATGAGCAAGCTAGCGTTCACGTTTCCGCTCCTCATCCACATGCACTCATATCCTCTGTCATTCCTATTTTCCTTCTGCTTTTGCCTCTACTTGTTATGAACACAAAAGCTTCACTTGGTCCTTGATTGAATTGGCTAGCTTGGAGCTCTTCATTCATGCCAGCCCTGTCGGAGGGCGGCAACGCGTCGACCAGCCAAGCGATGTGGTGATTTGAGGGTTCATGCGTCGACTTGCCTATGGGCCGGTCCCTGTTCATGGCTGCCTGTGAGAAACTTGCTGTAATTTGTGATAGCTTCGTAACTGTCGCCTCATGTAACTTCTTCTTATTTGTTCTAGCTTCATGTGGTTAAGCTTGTCTTGCTTAGGCATAGCAGCTTCCGATTTTACATACTTCATCTCCGCGTGCCCCGCTATCGCATCCGGCGTGGCCGGCGCGCTGGCAGCACGTCTTGACGTGCAGATGACGGCGCTTGGAAGCAGCGTAGCAAGCGTGCTCAAACGGTTTGGGCCGGCCCGGCACCCAACAACGGACCCACCATGAAACAGTATCGAAAACTACATGGTGTGAAACTGACATATATGATCATAAACCATCGAGCAAGAGGAGAACTGCGAAGTAGTTGCCTATGATTGCCTATGTTAGAACATCCTTCTTGTTCGATGTGCGAAGAAAAGCAACCAGATTGTTATGATCGGACCTGGTGGGGTGGTGCAGGATCTCTCCCGCAAGTACCACATCGGTGAGGAGCTTGGTGGGAGCCCCATCCAGTGTGTTCCGCCGCTTCGCCCAATCAGCGCTCGCCTCGAACTCCAAAAGACCTGGGTTTTGGACGCAGCGGCGGCCCTTGGACAGTGGATGAATGGGAGAGTAGGTATCCGGTACCCACCTGGTGCCCCCTATGGTGTGGAAGATTTTCCCCTCTTTCAGTTTCTGCGGAGCGGTGTGGTGGTCCCCGCCGTCTCCGCTTCTTCGGGTGGGGTCGTCTCGTTCGGCCAGGGCCGCGCTCAGGTAGTGGTGCCACTGCCACCGTGTTCCGGGTGCGCCCGGAGTGGAGCCGGCAGAAGTCGTGCGAAGCGACATCTTCACGGAGTGAATGAGGAGTAGCCCAGTAGTAGCAAAGCAGCTTGGGTTTTTTGGTATACCAGTCCCCATGGTGTTACCAGATATTTATGCATATCTCAAATGCACCTGAGATCTCTCTTTTTGGACGTTCCAGGGGAGGGTCGTTCAGTGTAACCAGGAGCGTAGGACATGAGCCTGGAGATAGACGAGCGCTGCGATTCTTTTGCTCAAGCAACTTGGGTGCAGTTTTTGTGCAACCAGCGCCGAGGCGAGCTGCCCTGAGACTTTTGAGCACGGCCATGAAGCTTCTTTGCTCCTTCATCGCTTTTGCAGTAGCAGCCGCTGAGCCTACCCTGGAAGCTCTGGAGGTAGATGACGCATGCGCAGCCAATGGTGATTGCAGCCTCGAATTGAACCAGCTCCGTGGAATGAAAGTGAACTATCACGATGTTTTGATGGCTGAGGAGGAGGAGGATGACGAAGTGATGGATGAGGAGGGTGGAGTTGGCGGAGCATGCACCAACCCAAAGGATATGGGAATTTGGAAAGGCGGAGGAAGAATGAGCTTCGATGGTGCTTTGAACCAGTGTGGTCGCTCTTGCGCTGCCGGTTTCCCTTGCACTCAGGGCTGCATGCAACAGAAGGGATACTCACAGGGATGCGCTGCTTGCATGGCTCATTTGGTGGAATGCTCCCGTGACAAGTGCATGAACCAGTGCATCAGCAATGACAAGAGCGCTGCCTGCACTGGCTGCGTGAAGAAAGGCTGCCGTCCCAGTATGAAGAAGTGCAGTGGCCTGAACGCCGGGGGCAAATAGGCAGAATTGCGAGCGCAACATCATCGTTCATGGCCCAATGTGGTCCTGAGCCAGACTTTCAAGAGATTTCAAAAGCATATCAGGAGTTTTGTGGATGTGCACGTATACCTTGTATACAGAATTTCCCAGCATGTCCAGATCTGTCTGCTTACTATATAATTTGATGAGCAAAAAGTTGCGCTTGGATGGTGTCGAGAGCCTTTTTGCACGCACGCAGCCTCTCGCCCGTTGAGAGCATCATCCTGCGCAGCTCTTAAATTATGTTACTTCTTTACACAAGTCTTTCTGGGTGCCCCTCCTGCTGATTGCCTGAGATCATTGTTTCTTTTCCCGAACATACACCTGTCTCGGTGAGATCGACGTCGGTCGGCCAGGCGAAGAACAAGCGCACTGGACAGGAAGTGGCCTTGAAGGCCATGTGCAAGTTGGGAAGCCAAGTGAGCTACGACCAAAACTCTCAAATGTATGGTTTAATGGGGATTACAACCGCCCATGGGCCCAGTAAAAGAGATCGTCTAGCAGGTGATCAGGAGCTCAAAATCTCAAGTGGGCCAAGTGATCTGGTGGAGAACATGTGTTGGAAAAGACTTGCTCAGGATGCTCAGGGCAGGGGCGATGCTCAGGGTGAGGCTTCGGCTTCGGCATTGGAAGAGTGCTGGTGGATCCCCAGTGTTGGGAGGGAGCGAGTTGGCGTTCGGAGGACTCCAATTTCCATCATCTTCCCCTTGAAACCCCCTTCCGTGCTGGCGCGCCATGCTCTTGGCCAAGGGATCGCATCCAAGATGAGCAGATGCTTCGCAATGAGATTAGCATCCACAAGGCACCGGATGGAGGATATACACAATAGTCAAGAAACAATAGTAATGATGACATGATGAGAATGCCAATATTTACTAAATAACTATACAAATTATATATATATATACTACATGAATAAGGAGAGAGAGGGGGCGAGGTGAAGCTAGTGGAGAGGAACCGGAGCGGTCGTGGAGAGGAACCGCCACACCGGACGGAGCCGAAGGTCGCCGAAGTCGCCGAAGGAGCCGAAGGAGCCGTTCGCCGTTCGCCGCAAGGCGACGGATCATCCGAACATCTTGCGACTTCTGGAGATCTTCGAAGATGCTCCTGGGATTTGGTGATGTGGCCAGCCAGGCATCGGATGTCAAGGCATTCTGGTAGAGTAGGGGTTGTCTTTTGAAGATGAATCAACACATGCACTACATGGCCGGACATGACATGCATGCATACATGCATGGTTGGATGCTGTGGGGTGGCGGCCTGATTTACTATAGTTGCAAAAGATCAATCATCTATCCCATAGAGAAGACATCGAGAACGCGGGAAGCATGGGACGTGCAACAAAACCTTGGACCCAGTAGACCAGCTTCATGGTTTTTGGAACAGACAGGAGGCTTCTTCACACCCACCTGCATAATGCATGGTGCATGCGCCATGCAGATGCATTGAGCATACATATATTGCGCTCCGCATTTTGGCATATTAAATCGCATCTCGCTGAGGAAAAGAATCTCTTCTTGGTCACTGAGTTGTGCGGCGCTGGTGATTTGGGCAGGCCAGAACATGTAGGGGGGCTGGCCTGGTATGGTCTGGAACATGCAGGGCAAATGTGGGACGGTCTGGAGGAAGCCGGGGCTATTGATGGTCTGGGATGGGATGAATTCCGATAAAAACAGGAGTCGTAGTGCATGGATTGATTTCACTCAATCTGGTCTTCCAGGGTGATCCATTTCATCGCCGACCACGGTCTCTGCGCACACAGTTCCGAACTTCGGCTCCCCGGCCTCCTCGTCTCCAGGCTGCTGATGGCCAGCCAAGATGAATTCAGCGCGGGGGGCCTTTGAGCGGCTTCAAGCCTCCAGAGACCATCATGTTGGGCAAGCTTGATCCTCAGTCTTTGCGTTTTGTTGGCCTCGCGTGAGGCCAACATGGTCTCAGAAGAGGAGGCCTTTGAGTGGTGGAACCCAGGAGTTTCCGCGTCGTAGAATCGCTTCGATTCTCAAAGGTCTTGACCTGGAGGCCAAGGGCAAAGGGCTTGACCTGGCAGGCTTTTTCTCCCGTAATACTGTAGCTCGTATTCTTAAAGAGACTGACTCCTTCGCACAGAGAGACTGACTCCTTCGCTCGCCGCGGGTGGCGCACACCCTTTTGTCAATTGGTCGATCTCTCGGCTGGCTGTTTCACACAGCCATCTGCTGAGGATCTTGAAGCAGATCTTGAATAGCATTGTGCGGTGCCTCAGGAGGCGGCGCCCACGGCTGACCCGCTTCTGCTTCCAACCAGAGGCGGCGCGAAAGAACCGGGGATGGGGTCGCTGGAGCCACCGTGGTGCGTTTCGTGGCGGCTGTTGAGTGGCTGATAATGGAAGAAGTGGCTGAAAATTGAAAGAAGTCAGAAGTCCAAATGGGGTGTGCCTGTTTGATCTCTTTGTTCTGACTCACCAATTTGGGTTATGATATTCTGCACCTGATGGCACCTGAAGCCACCAGGGACCCGTATGGGCATTTGTTTTTTTTTTTGGGGGGGGGACATGGTGGAGGGGAGCAAGTTCTTGCAGTCACATAGTGCTTTGGCCATCTATGGGACACCTGGGACACCCTTCTCCACACCAAACCTACACGCCACTCCGATCGGTCCGCTCTTCAGCGCTGAAGCAGCTCGACCGAGGTCTACTTGCACTCGAGAGGGATCGTGCACCGGGATTTGAAGCCAGGCGTCCTCCCATCGTCGGTTCGGCGTGTCCGGGGGGGGTGGAACCCCTCCTCCGGGGTCACCGTTGGAATACCCGAGGTTCCGATTGAGACCCTACAAATTCATAGGGTTTGGTTGCGCAGGGTAGGTTTATTTAACACACATCCCGTTCGGTTTGTTTCCTCAGTGACTGGGGATTTCAGTGACTGGATGATATTTACGTTGGGCCATCCAACTCCGTGATCAACTCTGTGGTGGAGGCGGTATAACAGGGAGTGTGTACCTCAAAAACCATGGGAAAAACCATGGGAGGCATGGGAGTTGAACACATTTCTAGATGTATACCTCTCTTGAAGCGTCCGATTCGCATCGGACTTTGGCTCTCGACTCGGTCTCCCTACCTTTCAACCAGTAACGACGGGACCCGACCCGGGGAAGCCTTGCGGTCACGAAGGACCCCGATGGGAAGGACGACGCCTATGCGATGGAAGCGGACTATATATGGAACCCCTATGGAGACCCTACTTCCATGTTCGTTGCTTCTGAAATTCCTCCACATGGTGTCGGCTGCAATCGCCGTGGTTGGGAACGCGCTTGGCACTAAAGAGAGAGAGAGAGAGAGTGCGCGTGCGCGCTGGATTCGTTGCCCCCCTCGGCTCTTTCTTTCTTTTTTTCCGCAGGATTCGTTGCTGGGAGTCGACCTTTGACCAACCTCTTTTTGTCCCCAGTATAGTCGTCACTAGTTTTTTCACGTTTATTTATTTTTATTTTTGTTTAAATACATTGGTGGCATTCATTTTGAGACATGATTTCATATGTATAGACTGTTGATCAAAAAAGCCCCTTCGGTGGAGATGATTGAAGGTGTGAAACATTGTAGCCACCATTCTGGTAGGGGTGGGTTGGCGATTCATCTACCGTTCTCCGTGTTTTTTCTGTGTGTTTTTTCTGTGGGCAGGCAACTTCCTCTGCTGTGCTCCGGACTCCAAGTCTCAAGATGAGTCGCCCGGATGCCTGGTGTTGCACAAGCACAAGCAAATGGCACGTCGGGGTTTTGGGACGTGCTTTGGCAGGGGTCAAAAGCATGTCTTTTTTGTTTTAAACTTGTTTTGTTTTGGGGGCTAAGAAAGAAGATATGTTAATTCTTTCCGTCTTGGGCTAAGGCTAAGCAAGAACGACCTGACCCAGACTTACAGCTTCTTACAGAGTAGCAGTCAAGAAGTGTAATTGTACCCTCGGGTACAAGTCCCTACTACTCAGAGCTCATCATCCATCTAAGACAGGTATGCAACATATGCAAATAGTTTTGTTATATACTAACGTAATTACGATAGCATAGTTGGAGGCAGACCATGACAGACACTTCGAAGTTCAGGAACTTGAGAACAAAGTGATGTCATATACATCGATCCTCTTCATCTCCCAAAGCTATATGTAGAAACGGGAACTGCACGACGCTTCTCCCAATCTTGGAGTTTTGCTATTTTGGCGTCGATGACGTGTCCGGTCTCCCCGCGTTAAGATCCTTCGTGATGTACCCAGACAATTTGCCAAACTGACGCAGGCACATTGCTGGGACACCGGAGAAGACTCTGGGGACTACTCCGAACCTCTCCGGTCCCCCAAGCCCGATATGACTTGGGCCATCCAACCAGCTGCTGAGCGGTCGACCCGTTCCCCCCCGGGAGCCGACGCGTCATCGGCCCGTTGAGGCAAAACGTGGCGGGGAAGATCCGGGTCATCAAGTTGGCCGACTTCGGCGTGTCCTCCTACTGCCACGTGAAGCGCCGCGGGAGAGAGAGAGAGAGAGAGAGAGTGCGCTTTTTTGGGACGACAGGGGGTTTGGGGCTCTTTTGGGGTCCTCCCTGGTTTGGGGAGGAGGGAACGAAAGGAAGGGCTCCCCCACACTTTAAATAACTGTTTATCCCCTCAGGCTCGGCAGATATTTTCAGCTTCGACGGGTTGAGCAGAGCCAGAAGTTGGTGCGGAGCCACTGTCGACAGTTGTCCAGTGACGCATTTGCTGCTCTGCTTGCTCACCGTCGTGGACCTCGCTGCGACATCGCTGCGTTGCGATGCTTTTTCATTGAGCAAGATCCAACACATACCGCAGGCTTTCCCTGGCATGTTCAATGGCATTTGCTTGCCACATATGATTGTTAAATACGATCATATCTATCAGTATTACAATTTACAGCTGTAGTGAACCCACTTGCTCACCCATCCCAAAGATGGTGAGCACCATCCCTCACACGTAGGACGCTTGTGGCTAGGTGACAAAACGACACGCCCCAATGGTCAGAGCATGTCAGACCATGTCAGTTATTGCACATCCATACGATTGGCCTTCCGGAAGATGGGCGTGTCCAACTCATGTCCTTTCCGCTTTTCCCCACGGTCACGGTGATGGACCCTTCGATCTGGTGGATTCCTATGTCCGGCGCCAGTATGTTCGGCAGCGACGCGGGAGCCGGCGGCAGGCATCGGCTCACGCGGAAGTGTGGTACCGATGGCTTCATGGCGCCGGAGATCATCCGCAACCAACCCTACGATCAGAAGGTGCCCGGCCACCGGGCAGGGGGGGATGGTGGGGAAGTTGGGGGGCCACCGGGGCCGTGTGTTCTGGTACGCTGAGCGGCGGCGACGGACGCGCCGCGCGGGAATGGAGGTCGGTGGGGGGTCTTTGGAGAAGGCGCTGAAAGAAGAAAGGCCTGCCAAGCTGTGCAGATCGAGTGGTTTTGGTCCAAAAGGATCGTATCAACCTCCGCGCAGAATTCGTGGTTGGAAGGATGCACGTCGGGTAGTAGGATGTCGTTGGCCAGACGTGGTTTTGCTTCCACGGCTGGACTGGTTGAAGCCTCGGGAGCTCACCATTCCTTCCCCCAAACATGACCAGGTAGACCCGTGAGAAGCAGAAAAGACTCCGTGCGCGGACCATGGTTGAGATAGATATACCTAGAACCCGTTTGACCTGTGTTTTGATATGAAAAGACACTGTTTTCGCTCCAAAACAAGGGTCGATCAGGTTCTAGGTTGATAGATGAAGCATGATGAACCCAGGAACGACCGACGGCGGGAGGTTTCTTTGGTCTTGTCACTTGGCACAGACACCGCGAAATGATGGGCAGATCTTTAATCATATATCGTTTCACCATGGTTCACCACAGGAGTGAGAGGCCTTTTCATCCGGAACCTGCACTCCCCTTGTTGCAGTCTGAGGAACTGAAGCCCTTCCAGTTTTGACTGATGACTGCAGCAACTACTTGTACATGTAACTACATGTCACTATAGGGACTTGAAATCACCTGGCCACTGGAGCCTCTTTTGTTTGTGCCGCTGCTTTCTTCGGACCCTTCACTGGACTCGTCCAATCATCCACCGGGGAATACCCCACCGGTTGGCAGGCAGACCTCTTCTCCGTCGGTTGCATCTTGTGCCAAGCTTGCAGGGTCTACCGGGTCGGGTCCAAAACACGTGCCATGCAGGTTGGGGCCATTCTCGTCCGTGCGGGTCCGACTTCCTTTCACCGAAACGGATTGGAAGCGTGTCCGAAAACCAGGGGGTCGTCAGTGCCAACAATTGCCAACAGCTACCCCCCCCCTCCAGCAAGTGGCTTCACTTCAAAGGACCCTATCTGAGCCTAAATGGAGCCACTCTTTCTCCGCACGAACGAAGATCACCAAAAAACTCACCGCGGCCGCGTCCGCAGACCTGACCGTGTGTGTTGACAACGGCGCGTTGGCGACATCGACGGCGTGGACCTGCAGGGAGAGTCCTTTTGGGGGTGGGGACCCACCAAAAGGGGAGCTTCAGCCAAGGACCTTGGCTGACGCCCGAGAATGGAGAGATTCCTTTTGTTTTTCATTGGATGTAATGTCAACGATTTTATCATGGCTCAAATCACCACAGACGGGTGTTTTGATGAGGAGAGTGTCCCACCGAGAAAGGCAAGCACCAAGTCACCAAGCATAGTAAGATATAGCATTGTGAAGCTCTTTGGGGCAAGGAAAGAGTGACCAAGTTCTGTGTTGCTCTTGATCTAAGTGAGTGTATGACTCGAGCTGCACTCAGAAAGATCAGGGCCCATGGGGAAGGTCGCCTAAGACCACATGGGTTGTGCATTAGAATAGGGAGACCCCCGAGGCGGAGCTGCCAGGGGGGTCCCCAACCAACAGGTTCAAAAGGACCTGGAAGATCCTGGAGGTAGATTCGATCGAACGATCTTCCTCGCAGATGTCCTGCTGGAAGCTGTACCAGACAGCAACCTGTTACTTGATCACTTGATAGAGAATCAGCTTCGTTAGTCTCGACTCCAACGATCCTCCAAGGCACTGGCTTCTCACTGGCCATGCCCCAAAGGCAAAAGAGGAGAACTCTGAGTGTTTTCAGAAGTTACCCCGCAAGTCATTTCCAACAGATCCAAGTTCCTTTCGGTTCCTTTGGGTTTCCCACCTGCCGTTTGAACGTTTGTTTCCCAGTAGCAACAGGGATTTGTGATCATGCACTATAGGTTTGATCCGCGATCTGGAGGACGGCAGCTACGTGATGAGCAAGATTCGGCTGAACTTCGTGTCTGCCGAGGCTCCCGTTGGGAGTCGGTCGAGCTTTGCACGAGGGCTCCAGGGTTCCCGTCAGCGGCTCCCAAGCTTGGCAGCGTGAGGGGCGCGAGGGGCCGATGATGCCAGGTAACAGCAACAGGTAGTTCACCGGGGTCGATCCTGCAGGTTTGGGGGGGACTGAGGGGTTCTACATGCGGGGCAGTCACATGGATGTTTGAGTTGGACGAAGTGTGTATAGTCTTCCATGCGGCCCCCAGGGGCCCCCAAACCCGACGCTGACGCTGAGACTGCAGTCCGGCCTCTGTTGACATGAACACTGACCACCAAAATAACCACCCGCCCATCTATATCTGTGGCTTGTGATGGTTCGCGTTCTGGGTTTTGAAACATCCATGCTTCCACAGTCGGAGGTAGCGCACGCACATTATAATTTATAGAAAGACATAAAAAACATATAGTAAGCAAAGCATATATTTGATTTATATAATGATTCTCACTAAGAATCCTTGGACTTTCTATGGGTACTGTAGGGGTCCGGAGCCCAACCAAAGCCTATGTCATTTTGAGGGACGCGGGTTGTTTAGGGCTTGAGCAGCTTTGTCAGCTGCTTTATCGGCCCAACATGAGACGACGACCCCGAAAGGCCCTGAAGGCGATGGATGAGAAAGGCCCAAGATTGGCCCGATTTTAAGGTCACGAGTCATGACTCAAACGAAGAAGAGAGGGCATTTGACGAATTGGCACAATCTTTTAATATAATATGCTGATGCTGATTTAGTATAATATGATGATGGATTATGTGATGATAGTATACACCAAATTGATCCCTCTATTTTCCAAGGTCGGACATCATTGCAACACACAAAAAGCAGGACATCCCGCACCACTTGGCGGTTACCCTCCTCCGGGCGAACTCAGGGCCGCCACGCCCCCCTCGCAAGGCACGAGAGCTGGTACACCAACTCACCAGGCGGGGGGGGAACCAGGGAACTGGAACATCTGATCGATGTTCTTTACATGTTCGTTACATGGTTTTTCATCATTTGGTGAACATGTTCGATGGTCATGTTCAAGATCTTCGATGGGAACGGGATTCTTGGCCCCAGGAGTCCAAGGGATGAAGCGTCCAGGTTTTTGCTCGTTGTTCTTGAGGCTCTTCCGACAAAAAGAAGGACTTGTGGCTCATCTGAAGAATGGTGGATGTTCATTTCGATCTGAATGGAGCATGAAAGTGACTCCAGGAAATGCCATTTACCACCTATATACTGGGATGGAAAGAATGGTCACCTACTCGCAAGGACCTTCAGCGGCGAACCGCGCAATCCTATCAACCTTGTCAGGACCGCCGGATGTGACGAACCAAACGACCCAAAGAATATCCACTTTCTTCGTGGAATGCAACCACAATGGAGGTGCCCTTTCAGAGCCGGCGGACCATCAATATGCTTCAGAAGCAACATGAAGACCATGAAGCAACTCATATGATCCAGATATTTGATCACAAGAAACAAGCCAGACACTCCATATCGTATGATAAATTGATATCATAGATAATCAATATCACCCAGACACTCCATGTCATCGGTGTCCAGACATCCCACATATCTGCCATCCTCCATAGCACTGGCAGGCCCGAGCCCTCGGAGCGTCCCTCAGCCGTGGAGGCCGATCAGTAGAGATCGATGGGCGGATCGACGGGCGGATGCTACGAAGCTATGAACCACCTGATGCCTTATATCATATATCATATATCCCAAAAGTAATATCACCTGAACCACCTGTCCTGTTTTTGTAATGTTGAGTTTGTATCATATATCAGACACTTGATTTGCCCATTCTGCAGGCATTCTTCGGTGCCTTAGCCCTCCATGCGGCCTTTGTTTCGGTCCCATTTGACGCCGGTGCGCCACCGGCACGTGACGTGGCCACCGGCACGGCCTCCTCCTTCGAGGTCATGCAGATGCCCATGCTGCAGACCTCCATGGAACGGCTACGCAAGCGCAGCGCGCGCATGGACGCGCAGCTCTTGGATCAGATGCCACTCGGCCTTCGTTCGCGTTTCGCGCCACGGTGGTCGCCGGAGCGTTGTCAACGGGACCAGAAGAGCATGGGAGTGGTGCGTGGGTGGCACGGTCCCGTGGGCCAAGCATGGCCCAATGAGAGTGGTTTTTTCCTGAATTCATTGGGCTTCAGTGGTGGGAGTTGGCATGTCAAGGAAAAAATTGGCACAGGTTATCTTGATGAACAACACCTTCCCAGCTGACATTTGCAAGACATCTTCATATTGGAGCTTTATCAAGATTCTACTTAGATCTACTTAGGGTTTGACAGATGGATGATTTGAACGTGGACTCTTCTTCTCTGATTTTCAGTGGACACTTGCTACGTCGGCTACGGGCCGAGCATACGGTTTGGCCCATGAAGCCGCCAAAGGGACGGTTCATGGACTCATATTGAACTCTTGGATATATGGTTGTCGATCTAAAGGTCCAAATAGGGATTGTTGATGACGATGACCCTGGAGCATGTCAAAATCTCATCTGGCGAAAGTTTTTTTTCTCAAGTTGGCGAACGTATTTGTTTTTTGCGAAAGATATGGCTAAAGATGTTCTTTCTGCTGCTGCTGCTACTGCTGCTGCTACTACTACTGCTGCTGCTACTGCTGCTGCTACTACTACTGCTACCACCACCACTACTATCCACTACTATTATCTAGAGCCTTTAAAGAAAACCTGACATCTGCACAACTCTGCCAACACTATAGTTGACTCTTTAGATTGCAAAGAACCCGGATGAATCGATAGAGGTGGAGTGGTGGTATTCATGGATGCCATGATTCGAAGAGCTTTTCTGCAACGTCTTTCAACCAGAGTTGGGGGCTGAAGCTGTGCTTGTGTGAGGCATGCCTATGGGAACTTTCCCTTGCTCAAGAAGGCTCGGCATTTTGGTACTATCTCAACATGTCACGTCAGTCCCTTCAAGTGGCTGTTGTCTCTTAACATGACAACAGCTGACGGTTCGAGCATCAACGGCTGACCAGAGCCCCAAAGATCCAGTTTGTTCATTGTTTTGTCATGTGTTTTTCCTTGCACCGCACAAAACCACCAAATGATACAAAATGTACCAGGACCATCCAAGGGGTGTCCAATGGACTACCCCACACTACCTATAGGCGTCCATTGGCACCCCTTGGATGGTCCAGGTATCACTGCTTGTCCATGGACACTCACAAGTCTACACATCCTCTAGATTGTAGAGGAAAGTGGTCGGAGATCCTTCAACATGGGCCACGCCATCCACTTCCATGTTGGTTCGAGTTACATCCTCCCAGTCCTCCCATTCCTCCCATCCTTTCCTGTAGAGGAAAGTGGGTCTCCAGGGAGTAACTCCGCTCCTTCGACTCCCCAAACACTCAGACGCCACTTTCGCAGGCTGCGCTGGTCGCCATGGCTGGGGAGCGCAGTGGCGAGTGTAATTGAGGGTGGACCCGGTGGACGAAGGGGAAAGGAAGGAAAATCAAAGCAGCAAGAGCAAGAAGGTCTATTCTTACTTCATGTGTTCGTTCTTTTGATTCAGCTTGCACCTCCCCATGGCCCCCGCGTTCGGCCTCCCCCCCCCCCGTCCTCCTCCTTTTCCTCTTCGCGTTCGGCCGAAACCCTTCGCCTCGGCCCTCAGGTCTCCCGAGCCGAGTCGGACGAGGACTTTGCTCCCAGCATCGAGCGCTTCATGCGCCCTGGCCGGAGCCGCTCCGCGCATTTCGTCGGTGGAGCGGCGGTCGTCGGTGGCCGGTGGGTGTGAAGGGGAGGAGCGGGGAGCGGGAGCGGTCCGGCGCGGCCCGGAGGCGGCGGGGGTTTGGGGGGGGGGGGAAGGATGATAGGATTTGGAGTGAGTCGTGGATTTAAGTACTAACAGGAAAGGGGAAGGAATGATTCTTGGGCGGGTTCCATTTCCGGCAGTGCACCATCGTGCACCGGAAATGGAGCTGTGATGAGGTGTGTGTGTGTGTGTCCAGCCCTGTTCCGAAGGGTTCCTGCTCTCGCGTTTCCAGCAGGGGGCCAGCGGCCGAGAAGCAAACGCTGGCTAACAAAGCTATGCTTGTTCGGTGGATGCACAGTCTGATCAACTGTGTGTACCTGCGCCTAACTTTTGATCAAGCTGTTCCAATCCTTCTTTTTTGCTTCCGTGGTTGTTCATGATACCTCCCACAAACCATTTCCCTCCGCATTGCAGCTGCTGCTGAACGTCACTTTCATTTGAGCGCTTTCGGAAACATTTTTTCAACAATACTGTTGTGCGGACTCATGCACCTTGCCGTTCCATCACCTTCCTTCTCAGCGTGGCAACTGAGCTAACTGAAAACCAATGTCGAAGTGTGAGCCGCTCAGCCGTCCCACGTGGGTGCTGGGTGTGATCCTCCGCAAGGAGGCGCCGTTTGCATGCCGGAAAGCGTGTTACTGAATCATCGTTCTTTCATTGACTTTTCCTCACCGCTCTTTCTCCACCCTGAATTCACTGATCATACAGCCGTCGGGTCGGGCTTAAAGAACGAATTTGATAGCCGCCGGGCTTAAAAACGGTTTTTCCCCCCACTTGAGGCAGGTCTCCCGACCCCCCCCCCACTGTGTTCTACTCCCTACCTATTTAGGGTAACATAGGGAAATGGTCCTCGACACGCTTGTGTGTCGGTGCCTTTCCCTCTGTTGTCCCTTTTCTAGTCTACTCTACCCGGGCGGTGTAAGACAAAAGTCCCGCTCCCTAACTAGTGCATTGTAATTCACTTCGTCTAAGTATTCAGTAATTCTAGAGTGCTAGGTATTCAAACACACACACGTACACACACATGGACATACACCCCCTCCCTGCCCCCCCTTTTCCTTCTTACGCTTTTCGTCGTTTGTTGGGCTTTCTCTCAGGCTTTTTAGGTGGCTCTTGAGGCTCGTTTCCCTACCCCAGTCAAGGGCTAAGTATTCATATTTTTCATTTTTCTACACCTATCTTTCTCTCTTGCCCTCTTAGCGCTGTTCTTTCTGCCTTTCTTTCTTTCGTTTCGAAGGCTTTTTAGGTATCTATTCAGGTTTCTCACACGAGCGCCGCCAAGCGGCACCGTGTGTGTGTCCAGCCCTGTTCCGAAGGGTTCCTGCTCTCGCGTTTCCAGCAGGGGGCCAGCGGCCGACAAGCAAACGCTGGCTAACAAAGCTATGCTTGTTCGGTGGATGCACAGTCTGGTCAACTGTGTGTACCTGCGCCTAACTTTTGATCAAGCTGTTCCAATCCTTCTTTTTTGCTTCCATGGTTGTTCATGATACCTCCCACAACCATTTCCCTCCGCATTGCAGCTGCTGCTGAACGTCACTTTCACTTGAGCGCTTTCGGAAACATTTTTTCAACAATACTGTTGTGCGGACTCATGCACCTTGCCGTTCCATCACCTTCCTTCTCAGCGTGGCAACTGAGCTAACTGAAAACCACTCACTAGTAGTAACAATGTTCGCTACTAGTAACAAGTGCCTTACTACTAGTAACAAAAATAGTTTAATTAGAATTGTAATTACTAGCTTCTTGTTACTACTAGTAAGGCACTTGTTACTAGTAGCGAGGCACTTGTTCCTAGTAGAATTGTAATTACCCGAACTCAGGAACATCCCCTTACAAGTCGCACGAGCCAGAAGACGGAGGTTCTTCATGCTCCTAAGTCTTGAGAACCTGGCTCCTGGAGAGATCCAAGAGCAGATCCTAAGAAACAGAAGGAGAGATCCAACTTTCTCTGGAGAGATCCAAGAAACAAGCTCCTAGTTCCTGGCTGCGCCCATTTTTTCAAGGTCATTGGACCGGAACATGACCAGCAGCATTGACGTGGAGCGAGCTGCATGGCATGCGGGGTGATCGGCATGTGGGAATGGCGAATGAACACGTTCGCAACATAGCGAAACAAGACCTGGGCGATCTTTCTTGTGTGACATATCATCGCCATGTTTGTAGTTGAGCATATTTTTTTATAATTCTCTGTCAGATCATCGCGTTGATAGGTAGAGTTTTGCTAGATGTTTATGGATTTTTGATCTCAGGTGGTTGTGTTTTTGTTCCTTCTTACGTCCACCAGGGTCAGGGTCTGATGGAGCCAGTCTGGTACGCCTGGCTCACTGAGGCTGCAATTTTGTTTTGTCTTGATTGAAACTCAGATGCCAGAGGCGGCACTGGTTTCCAGCGACCGTTGCGGGCGGCGTATTTTTCCGAAGAACGTCACCGCGGTGCTCTTCGATCCCGGTTTACGTTCGGCGGGGCTGTTCTGGTAGGGCGTATGTTTGGCCACGATCCGACGCAACAGATCCAAAACCTCAATTGAGATCAACATGTATCAAGACTCCACCAATATTTGCCAATTAATCGAATTCATGATGGTCTATATGGTTTGGTTGAGCTTACCACCCACATGCCTGTTTTGCCATGGTTTCCACGGTTTCGTGGCTCCAGGAGGACTTGTACGGCGCTTTGAGCGAGGAGATGTTGCTTGGAGAAGATACTATGGGCGGGGTAATGCGCATAGTTGGCATAGTTAGTGTACCTGTCAGTTGACACAAGTCGGAGATATTCCCAACGCATGACTTGCTGTGCATGACTTGCTGCCAAATGTCATCCTTCACCATTGGCACTGGGTTTGGAGCGTAATTCTATATATGTTGCTTTGGAAATATATTGGGAATCGATGCGGCAGCACAGTGGCAGCACAGCAACTCTAGTATAGTAAACATCCACATGTTTATCATCATTGTTCCCGAGTCTTCTCTTGTGTGCCCGATCATCCCCATGTGTTTTCTCATCGTGAATCATCACTTCTTAGGGTATTGAGAAGGCCTCGTATGGAATTCCTATTCCATGTATGATGGACAAGAATTGATTCACAGGGTTGATGTCATTGTTTGCTCCCCACAATCGAAGAAGACTGGAAGACAGTGAAGACAGTCACAACCCAACACCCAGTCCACCGGCCGTTGTGTTTGACATTCCCTATTCACCCTACTGGGAATTGAATTGGAGTCAACCAGAGTACCGTACCTCTGCGTGCCATGTCGTTAATTCTGCGGCTGCTACACCGCGCCGTGCTCCCCGTCCAAACACGGCGCATGGGATGGAGGGAGTGGATGGCACTGGCGACTCAGGTTGGAGGACATGCAAAGCCTGGTCCGAAAGTCTCTGGCAGTGACCACTTCGCGCCCGGAGGCGGCCGGGGGCGGCCGGGTGGCCGGGTTAACAGTCCATCCGAAGGAACAAGATCATGGTATGCATGGGGGGGTTGGAGTGGTGAATGACTATCCGCTCTCTAAAAAATCAGTATAACAAAATGGATCTTTTTTTTTCATTCCAACATATTCCAACTTAATTACTGACACAGGAGAGAGGGAACCCCTGTTTGGCAATGCTGTTTGTGCAGGGAAGATGGCAACCACTTCCATGTGCTTTTTCTGTGCGATCTCTCTTTCAATCTCTCTTTCTACCAGGACCGAAACCAAGCCCGGTGGATTTTTGGACATCCCTTAAGCTCTAAGAGGCTATTTCTATTTATAGACACCTCTTGAAAGGTCCTGGTATAGACATCTACAGACCTTTACCTGGGCTTATATGTATATTATGCCTGATTTGTGGAGCTGAAACATATTTTCAATGACTCACATTGTTGAAACGTTCGAGACAAACGTCCGAGCATTGGCATGCCGTCAGAATGAACACACGTCGTTCGTGTTGCTACGGAGCACGTTTCTCCCGTGCGGTCTTTATAACAAAGTCAATTCACACGAAGACCCACACGGACTCAGCGTCGTCCTTGCGGGAGATCTTGCCAGGGGAGCATCAAATGTATGAACGACCGAATCCCAACAATTTGTTCGGTCCTTCGCCCCATTTCAGTCGGTTGGGCACACGCCGCCCGAGTGCATCCAGGGCAGCCGGGGCTCCAGAGCCCGGCAGTCCCAGAGGCGCTGTCATGGGATGGACCTGGATGGCATTGAAGTTGGTCACTCAGAGACTTGAGTCAACTATAAGTGACCAGTGAAACTAGTTCTCAGTTGGCCTAAGTTGTGGGGTGGACCATGTTAAGTTACATGTCAGCCACCTCTGATCTTAAACCAACTAGCAACTAGACCTCCTTTGAGGAAGGGTTTCTCTCAAGTCGATATAGTTTTAATTCATGTGGGCGTGAGACGTTCAAATAGGTTCCGACCGAACCGGTGGGCAGGCAGGGTTTCGACCAGGAAGGGTTGTCGACAGGTTTCGCCAGCGGGTCTGGGGGTCTCTCCCGGATCGAAGATACACATCTCATGCTTGCTCATTCACCTTCTTCAGAGGATTAGACCGACTTTTCCTGCGGATTCCGTGGAATCGATGTATCCTTAAACGGAGAGAGCTGGGAGAACAACTCCTCCAAGAGTAAAACAGATGATTGAAGGTGTGCATCAAGAACCATCAATACACTTGATGGAACCAAGCTGGTACCGTTTCAGATGCAATACGTACCTAACATCCACAGTTCCGATCTCGGCAAACATGGAGATCCCAGGACCCGATCTCCGCTCCGCCGCACGCAGGCGGCCCAGTGTAGCATCAAAGAGCCTGAGTAGGCAGGACAGGACATGTTGCGGGGCCTGGTGAGGCGACGGTGGGTCAGGAACCTGCAACCCCTTGCTGGACTTATCATGTTTGGTAGTTTGTTCTGTTCATGTCCACTGGAAGAAATGATAGGGTCCCCGGTTTTGGTCCACCGACATGTGGTATGTCATCCGAAAATGCCCCAAGTAAAGCAGATGGAATAAGTTTGTTCCGAGTCTCCAAAGTAGGCAAGGCCCTGAGTATTTGCGAGGAGACCTTCGAAACAGGCACCATGATGTACCATGTGTAGGTTGTGCTTTACTCTTAAGTGTTTCATTTTCAGTTGCTGCCACGTTTTCAGGGCATTTGGATCACCTAGTGAGTGCTGTACTCGATTTTTCCTTTGGCTTCCCACCCCCCCAAATCTGCCTTTTGAACCACCATGCCTGTGCCCAACTCCTCCCTCCCTCCTCCTCCTTCTCCTCCGTCCCAACGCCCCAGGCACCTGCGGACGTCGATGATGGATCGCTTTCAAACGGAGCGGGGCGGTTCCGCGGGGCCGGGAACCGCGGATGGAAGCCGGTCCCCGGTGAGGGAAGCCCACCCAAGCCCACCCGGTGAGGTCGAGTGAGCGATGTTTTTTTCTTTTCCCCGAGTGGGCAGGTGGTGGTTTGGGTTTCGTTCTCACAGAATGAAGCAGATGTGAAAAGATCACTGAAAGGCATGTTCGCTCCGTTTCAAAACCGAGTTGATTTTCAGAAACGACCCTTTTAAGCAATATTGGCCACCCACCCCCCAAAACAAAGAAACCGATGTCGTTAGTCTGATTCGCCCCCGGCCAACATATTGATTCGCCCAAGCTGAAGCAGGTGGGTCTACTTTAAGGACACATGCCACGCCCCGACCCGAGGGACCATGGGACACAGCCCGACGTAGACGTTCGACCATATTCACCTCAGCATGTTGGTGAGAGACTCGTGTGAAGGCGATGAAGATACACCTATACCTGCTATACCCAAACCAACCGGCCCATAGGACTGGCATATTTACCTAGACTGGTGCCAGAGGGGGTCAATTGATCGGCATATATGACAGACAGAGTCCGTGTTTGGGTATAGAGAACCATGTTGGAACAGAGCAACGTTTTTCAAGATTCGTGTGCATCTACTGGCACCATGAGGACATATTGGCCCTTTCCAATGCCCAGGAGGATGGAATCATATGGAACCATACAGTGTCAAGTCAGCATGCTATTGAAATGGAGATGAACTCGATGTAGCTTGAGTCCCTCCAACAGGGTGGCACTGGTGGGCACGGGTGACGGGTGGCACCCCATTCACCGCCGCTACTTAGAGTTAAGTACATTTATAGAATCAAACATAGATAAGATCAAAGATGATCAAAGCATGATCAAGTCCAAAGTTCCTGATTGCTCCCCTAGGCCCCACACCGACATCTCGGGTGCTTCGTTGTCTCATCGAATGCTAGCGGATCACTGAGACACGCCAGCTGGCGTCACCTGTGTCGACATGAACAGACCAACAGCCCACCGCGTGTCGATGGTCTCAGGGTGTCATAGCGATGGATGCAGGTGTCTTTGCAAAAAATAAGAAAATGCTCTGGGTCATCCAAATGCTTACAACTCCACTTCCAGAGGGGGTAGATCAACATTCACTTGCTGGTCCACGAGTGGAATCTCGACACATATATACATATGCATATGATATACATATACATATGAGATACACATGTTATATTTTAATTTATATGTAAGTGATTTGACCTTCGCAAGACCCTTTCCTTGGATTGTGTCGTTGGACAAGTCCACGTTCATCAAACAGGAGCAGCTTGTTTGGTCAACAAAAAAGTATTCCACATGTTTCCACCCTTACCCAAAGCAATCGCTCTATGTTCCTGGAACATCCTAGAACCATTCTTTACTATATATATATATACCATGCCCCTGTTTTGGAGCCACAAATTAACATCTCTTTTCCCATCCAGAACCGTCAATTACCGCTCACGCGTCGGACTTGGACGACGCGGAGCGGTACGACGCGGAGCGGTATACTGTCACACATCACTCCCGAGCGAGGACTTGAAGAAGGACGTGGAGCGATTGGTCAACAAGGTGTGGAGCGCTTCATCACCCTGTCATCACACCTGTCTTGGTCGTGCCCGGAAAAATTCTGTGATTGTTTAGAGCAAAGTGAAAAGGTGTTTGTTTGTATTTGTGTGTGTTCCTTTAAAGGTCCAGGTGCAAGTGGTGTTCACTTGTTTGGATGGGGATTGACTTTCATTACCTCTTTGCTGGTCACCACAAAGGGGGTTTGCTTGTGTTTCAATCCAAGAACCTGGGAACCATGAAAATCATTCAAGAGGTCGATCGATCTGCATACAAGTTGTAGTGGGGCCGTGAAAAACATCAGCGGCTCGCGGCTCGGGTGTTGCCAGATGTCATCGAAAGCCCTATTGGTCGGTTGATGTTAGTCAGATGCCATGGAGAGGAGAGACACACGAAACCAACATTGGGTTTTGATGCTCAAATCTGTGAATCCATGTTTCGAGAAAATAAACATCCAGAAAAACACAGACAAACACGCGACAGACATATACCAGGACCCACAACAGGTGGTTCATGGACACCCCAGGGGCTAAGCCAACAGGGGGTCCTGGTATGATCTCCTAAGGTCATAATGTTGATTAATGTTGATTGTTTTGGATTGTAGTTGTTGACAATTTCATACATCGCAATCTCCCCATCCTCCGGTGATTCCCGTGAACCCGCCATTCTCGGACCTCCTGGCCGCGCGAGCGCGCGGCGGGCCGCGAGCGGCCGTTCCCAGGTGGACGCCACTGGGACTGGGCTTGGGATTCCCAGAGGTTGCTGTAAATTGCACCAGTTAGGTCGGGTGTTCCGCGACTCGGCGGTCAGACTCGCGGACGTAAGTCTCCCAAAACACTGCACGCACCCCCCGATGTGACGTGCTATCTTGGCTGACCTACCTGGTGTCGGTCGTGAACCCGAAGTCCGCCCATGGGACCAGTCGTCGGGCGCCAGAGGTGCCATAGGTGCCATGGTCACATGGCGGGTCATGACACGACCCCCTGGTTGACCCGCGTTTTTCCCACTTTGAACCATCGGCAGCTGCCTCTGACCCGCACTGAAGTAGGACTTTGATGGCACATAAGTCATAGGATGGCAACTGATGTCAACCGAAACCATCCAAAAGCATGGTTTGGCGGGAGGTTTGGCGGGTTACAGGTAGATGACCCAACAGGGATAGCCAGAAGCAGATCCATGAAAAAGCCAGCACCCAGGAACCAGGACCGAAACCAAGCCCGGTGGTTGGACACCCCTTGGGCTCTAAGATTATATATCAGACGGGACGATTAGCAGGGAAGAGGTAGGAGCAGGGAAGAGGTAGGAATTCTACATGATTTTGATCAACATCATTTTGCTGTATATGTCAGTATGTAAAAAAATGGTTTCACTCAGATAAAAGTATATGATAAACCTTGTTTGTCAAGAACTTGTCAAAAACAGTATTTCAATGAACAATAATCACCCGGGTTGTGATGTACTTTTCAGTTGTTGATTCCATACCTCAACTCAGTTGAGTATACTTAGTGCTGCAATTGGATGTGCCAGCGGTGTTTCTATCCTGGTCTCAATCTAAGGGTTTCATTTTGGGTAGTATGATTTGCAGGCCCAGAGAAATCCTTAAAGTGGTGGGAGTTGATTTTTCCCATAAACTAGCCATTAAGTTGGAAGTCCAAGTGTCTTGAGATTTGATATCAACGTTCTACAAAGCTGGGAAAAGAGCTGTTGGCTTGAGTTGGTGAACCAAACAATCAAAACAAATCCCTAATTAGTTTTATAAATACAATTGAGATGGTGGGTATCAAGCCACTAATACAGAGTGTGACACTTGGGGTAGTGTAACAATTCAATTGGAACACAGCTGCTACCTGCTGGCTTTCCTCCATTGTTGCTTTCAATAGTGCGCCATGTGTTTTGTGTGTTCCAACTGCATGCAAAGTGCTTCAAACCTTGTAAGATGATATCTCCAGAAATGACCAGCCCACTCAAAGGGCACCCATTTATTATTGGTATGACTGAAAGGATGACTGCTTGCCAAAGCTGTTGATTGTGATTTGTCCACTTGGTATGATTTGCTTTTTTGAACCAGTGTAAAATGTCGGTGCAGGTGCAGTCATTGGTCCAACACTAGGAGTTTCTCTAAGTAGTTACAGTAATAGTAAACCTTGGATCCTTTGGTCGGGCTGGGTTGGGTTGGGTCGGACTGGGTTGGGCTGGGTCGGACATTTCTGGCCGGACTTCATCTTCATCGACGGCAACGACATGGTCTTCAAGGTGACACTGGCGTGTTTGCCGAGTCGCAGTATCAATAACTCGATCGTCCGACAAAGCGTGGGTTTCATTGTGTGATCTTGCAAATTTAAGGAAATTTTCTTTAAAGTAGGTGTGCACTTTTTGAAAGTAGGTGTCAGACATATTCTGATTTTGTGCCATGGCCTGTATCACTGATGCAAGGTTCTTGCGATATTCTCCTTTAGCCTTCATGTGGAACTTCATTGCTTTCTGCTGCTGGACCGGATGAAATCTTGTTGTTGTTCCAGTGAAAGCGCTATAGGATGGCCTGACTCATATAATATATATATATATGTATACACATATTATACACAGACATGCATTTACATTAATTAAGATATATAAACGCACGACAAACATCAAACGGACCAAACAAGACTAGACAAACTCAGACATGGCGTGTTATTTAGCAGCCTTTGCTAGGCGTTGTTGTGCCTTCCCCTAAGAAGCGCCATTACATAGTTAGAGTTGCAGATTTGCTGGCGCTGAGCGCATAGCGCTTGTACTACGGGGGTGGGGCATGGGGGGTAGAGCGCCTATCATTTTTGCGCTGGATTGGTACTATATTAATATTGTTTTTACTATTCAGATTCAGATTCTCATTGTCTGTTTGCTTGTTGGCAGCCGCGTTCGCCTGGAGCTTGCTGCCGCAGCTGTCAGGTGTGAGGCAATTTAACTTTAGCCTAGGTTTGCAGACCTTTTCTCATGATGGCCGTTTACCAAGCTTGGATCTACCCCCAGCAGAGGACGCTGGTTCCCAACTTTGCTCAGCCTCTCCAGCTGTGGACGCGCGAGGAACAAGTTCAATTTGGAGACCACCAGATCGAAAACATCAAGGAATGCTGCTATCAGCTTTCCAAACTTGTGCAATGCCACCAGAGCAAACTGGAGCTTCGTCGATGGCAGATTTTTGGAGCTGTGGTGCGTGAGTATCTGTGCCACGATGGTTCAGGTGTCATTCCTCCAACCGGCATAGCCCAATATCCGTGTGGGCCTCTACAGAGCTTTGAATCCTTACTGGAAGAGCAGGGCTATACTCCTGGGAGGTTGCAAGTCTTCTACGAGGATTTGTGCCAAGCATGCGCCGCTCTCACCTCCCATCGTGATCTTTGGGCTTGTGACCCGGTCTTGGAAAAGACCACAGCTGCTTGCGAGAACCTTTTTGCGGACGCCCGCCTGATGATTGTCGGGCTGATGCAGGAAAAGCCTGACAAGTGGACGAGGCGTGGCTGAGTCGTGTTAGTTTAGGAGATCTGGCTTCGATGTTAAAAGAAGGGTTCGTCGCATAGTGCAATTTTTTTGTGATTGGCTGGATGTCAGTGGCCCTAAGCAGTGCCAGTTCACATTCAACTTCAACCGCTGTTTTTGTCGGCTCATGGCTTTCAATCAGGCAGTGTAAGTCAGCACGCAGGCCCAGTCGCACCACTCACGCCAAGCTGAGCTCAACTTAGCGCGCCTGTCAAAGCAGTAAAATTTAATGGACCAGGTTTTGCACGAGTACTTAGAGCTGCTGCAATGCCGGGGTCTGAAGACCCGCCAAGTTTGCCTTCAGATGTGGCGTCTGAATGTGAACGCCATGGCAGTGATGCAAGCGTCTGCTTGCCTTCAGATGTTGAATCGTCTGAAGGGTGCAGTGCTGGACAGAAACACTGCACTTGCAAGCTTCGGTGTTTTTCGAAGTTTCCAAAGGAAACAGTCGAGCAGCACCGACTGGAAGCGCTGAAAGATCAGTCAGGCCGCCAACAACAAGTCTTTCACATGGTCAAGAAATTTGTCGACGACCTTGCGAGTTCCACAGCAAAAATTCCTTGGTGCATTGGGGCCACGAAGGTGTGCAGACCATTTTGGGAGCATTACCATGCAGTGGGGCACAAGGCTATTGATGACATGGTGAAGTTAGCAAAGGCAGGCCATGCATGCGTGCCTGAACGTGGACCAAGGCTTCCAAGAGAGAAGCCTCGGATGGACGAAGCTGACCTCTTTTTCCTCTCCCTCTACCAGGGCACTGCTGAGCCGACACCGCTTGAGGATGGGAAAGATCATGTAGAAGAATTGCCAGACCAGGGTGGTCAACACGAAGTCATTGATGATGTGAACCATCCTCTCTACGCCTTGTCTGTGGGGGTGTCTCCAGATCAGAATGTGGTCCCCAAAAGGTTTCTCAACCAGGAGAACTTAGCGTCCCTCTGGCACGTGTATGAGAACCAGAAAGCAGGAGATGCAGGAAAGCTTTCTCGGGACACCTTTACCAAGGCGTTCCAGCGCCACTGGAAAAAGATTTTGATCTTTAAAGGAGAAGGGCAAGGAGTGAGGTGTAATCTTTGCGCAGAATTGGACCAAGAACGGAGCCAATGTGTGACAAAGAAAGAGCGTGAAGAAATTGACTTGAGGAAACAACACCACTTGGCAAGGACAGCAGCAGATCGGTCTGTCAACGTGCGTGGCAATCGGATGAGCAAGGAAGCCGCTACGTATGAGGAAAACCAAGCTGCTGGACGAGTATGCAAGATGCTGATCGACGGAATGGATCAAGCGAAGTTTCGCTGTCCTCGCAACCTTCGAGCCTCCGCCACTTTCGCGAATCTGTCGCGGCCTCCTCTGCACATGACAGGATGCGTCCTGATCGGGGTGGTTGAAACGTTTTACTTGTTGGAAGCCGACACCAAGAAGGACAGCAACATGGTAGCAACGTGCCTCGCTCACTGCCTTGACAAAGGCCGACGCGCACTTGAGCTCAAGGGTGCAGGTTACGGCTTGCCGCGCCACCTGATCATCGCTGCAGACAATTGCAGCCGTGAGAACAAGAACATGCACCTCGCCACCTTCGGCGCCTATCTGATCAGCAAGGGTCACTTTGACAGCGTGGAATTTCAGTTTATGCTCACAGGCCACACGAAGAATGAGTTGGACCAGCGATTCAGCTCTGTTGCCACCACTTTGAGACAAGCAAGTACACTTGAGAGCCCAAGCCAATTTTCCAATTGGCTTTCAAGTCACTTGGAGCCAGTCTTGGGCTCCCAGTTGTGCGTCGAAGTTTTGAGCGCGACGTGGGACTTCCAGTCCTGGTTCGCCTCCTTTCAGTTGTCTATGAAAGGATTGACCGCTACGCATTTGGAGCCGGACACGAACCACTGTTGGAGGATGATGTTGCGAAAGAATTTGGAACCTCATGCTACAGTTGTTTGCCACAATTCTGCCTGGAGCGATCTGCCTGAGGATCCAAACGATGTGGTTCTTGTGGTGAAACAGTATGCTGGATGCACTGTACTTTGAAGTTTCTAATTTTTAAGCAGCTGATTTTGCATTAACCTCGTTCTTCACCGTGTCATGTCACCCCAGGTATATCAGTTCAGCAAGCCCATCGCAATCTCCTCAGCTCATGCTACCTGCGCATCTACACAAGAAGTTGAAACAGGATGATTTGCAGGTCAGTGAACGCAGGAAGTGGAGCGAGGAGGTCTTGATTGACT